ATATGATGCATATAGAGAGGTGGTAGTTTGCCAGAAGTGTGGAAATAAAAAGATGACGAGTTACAAAGACCTTAAATTATATCATACCATTTCTGTTCAGAAGCTTTTCATTATCCCTTCATGGAAATGGGCTGGTGTAGTTCAGCATTCTGCCTTTTCCATGGCCACTACCACCCTCTGCTCACTGCTCAATGTTCACAGTAATCAGAATTCTCTTATTTCATGTGCTAGTAATTACATGAATAATTACTATAGTGTATGCTTTACCATAGCTCCAAAATCATGGTTATATGGTTCAAAATTAGTGAAATAAACAGGCAAACTTCACTTCAATTTAGATGGAACAAAACAGCTTGCCCTGACTAATACTCTGAATTATCTTGGAGCATCCTTTGGTCAGAGAGCTGTAATGAATCCCTCTCTCCTCTCCTTGTGTCTTTTCCCCATGGACACGGGCTCTCTAGCCCTCCTTCATGTCCACAGTTACTTTCCATTCCTTCCCTGACTCTCAGCACTCTCCAGCTGGGACACGAGACATCCTTTCCACTGTACTTTTCCTCCTCTTCCTCCCTCTGGGTATGACCTGCAGAAATTTTAGGTAACAGCAGGAAAACTCAAGAACAAGCATATTCAAAGGAGCATTGTGTTACGGCATAAGTAAGTCTTGGGACAGTCCAAGCCATTGGATATTAATGGAGAAGTTTCCCGAATCAGTGTACTTAGGCTTTGTCTCCACAGTGAGAGAGTTTCTTGGGGCACAGTTTATTGCTGCTTGTATGACATGTTCGAAAGAAAAAGAGAGAGGAAATGAAGGTAATTTTCTTGTCAGGAGCTGGGCTGAAGGAAGCTGGGGTTTGAGGAGGCAGCTTGAGTGTTTGGCAAATTGAAATAAAATGTTCTTGTCATAAGTGGTACCACTCAGGCTTTCCCCTCAGGCAAGGTATATGCAAATTATTGCTGGTAGATTTTTTAAAATGTGTCTCTCCTGGCATACATTTGGGTATTTCTAACATTGCTGCTTCTGACTATTCTCTGTACCCACTTGTGCAAAGGGATGTTAAAGGAAGGGGTTGCCACCCATAGCTCTGGGGCTGGGCATCCTCCTCCCTGCTGGGCCCCAGTGTGGGGGCCTGGTGTCTCTGTCCCAGGCTGGTGAAAGTGGCTGCTGCTTTCCTGCTCAACCAGCAGCAACTTCAACAGCACCTCTGCCCAGGGCTCTCGCAAGTGCCAACAAACAGCCTTTCCCTTTTTCCCCTTTGGCTGTCAAGGCTGAGGGTCACTAGTGAAAACACACATGCCTCCCTCCTCTACCCTCACAAGCACATGCATTGTTGCAGATCCCCAAGTACAGGCATGGCCTCTCTGGTTTTCTGATAGCCCTGCCCAGATCCTAGACCTTCTTACCTGCCCCATGGTCCCAAATCACCAGCTGTCGAGCTTGGTGCTCACTGCAGTCTGAAACAAGCATCCTCCCTCTCCACATACCCTTGCCAAGTACTCTGGCTCACCAGGGCTGTCCCTGTTGTTGTCTCTGTGAGTGTTGTTCAGGTACGTTGTACATCTCTGTGTTTGGCTTCCTCCCTTTGCCATTCCACTTGATAAGGTCCTTGATTAGTTGACATTAATGAAGCAGGTACTCTCTCCTTCCATTTGCTCTGACAGGTGGATTCCAGCTGGGTTCAGATACAGAATGGGGAGTGAAAAATGTGCCTCTTTCTCAAGGAAGGCATCTTGACACCCTTAGCATGCAGTCCTAATTAAAAACTACTTCTTTAATTAAAAACTACTCCTTTGCAAGTCTAGGGGGCTCTTCTCCTGTCTGTAAGCAATCTGATACAAAGGAATACTTCCTCCCCCACCAGGTCCCATGTATTCAGTGGAGGAGGAGGGAGAGTAGGACAGGAAAACACATATTTACTCCTACACAAGTGCAATACACAGAGCAGCAGCTAGAAGCAGGAATACACACAGACAGACTGACAGGCACTCAGCTCTCACTGGGTGAACCAGCAGCCCTGCAGGGATGCTCCTGGCCTTCCTGACAGTGACTGTGCTGCTTGCATCTCTCCAGAATGTTTGGGTGTGGGACCACACTTACGAAACACAGGAAAAGAAATCTCTGTAACATTTCTGGTGTAAGATATCACCTGGAAAATGTATCTTGTATCCCAGCTGGAGTTAGGGACCATCTGTGTATAGTTCGTAGCTCCTGGCTACATGAAAACAAGCAGTTAAGCAGCCTCCCCAGTCTCAGCTAGCTGTCAAATGTATTTTAATTGAAGGGCTGGCCCAGATGCGTTCAGCTCCTTGCTCACCATCTCATCCCGGCTTGGTACTTAATTATTTGCAACTGTTTATGTGCCCAAACCTAACTGTTGTATGACTTTTTTTTCTTAAATTTTTGTCATAATTTTCCTGGTTCCCCACAGGAGAGGCCCATTTAGCTCCTTTCCAATTCCTTCCTCAAATCTTGATTTCTACCTCTGTATTGATATAATACTGTATTTGTCAGAGTCTGCCTTGAGGGAAGTTTTTTCAAGTCCTATTTGGGCTTATTATCCACCCACTCTTCTGTCACTTACAGTGGTAATTTTTTTCATTGCATTGTTGTTTTGGTTTTTTTCCTCAGATGCATTAATCTGGGAATTTTCATTCCCTTGCTGCTTTTCCATTTGTCACTTCAGGTGGGAAACATGGGCAAAAACGAAACCAGTTCAAATCAGTACTAGCTCTTGTGCAGTGGAGCCCTGTACAGTGCCTTAAAGCAGGTCTCTGCTTAGGCAAAAATCAAAACCCCTGCAGCAGAAAACCCTTCAAGAGCTGTATGTGAGAAACCTTATCCCATGCTGTGTGCACCATTCCAGTGCTTTCTGCCCTTTGGAGTAGAAGTTATGTGATTTAATGGTTGACTCCAAGACCAGACATCTAAATTTAAAATGAGCAATCTGATAACCTCCTTTTTCTGCACCCCCCCCCCCCCCCCCATTATTCCAGACAGGGTAGTTTAAAACTTACTTTTACAGCTTATGCCCTGAAATGCCTTGACAGACTTGAGCCACTCCATGCCTTGGTCATACATCTAGGTTTGGCTGTTGTCCAAAGATTAAATACCTGCCTATGTTCGTGCTTTTTGTTGCTGGGATCCTTAGAATACGTCTGCCCAAAATGCAGCAACAGCCACATTTTCTTTCTTTCCACTTCCCATGGAAATGCTTTAACTGCCAAACTGCAAGCCAGTTTTGGTAGTTTGTCCACTGTCTTCATGAAATGATACAAAGAGGTTGCAAGAGTCATAGCACAGAGAAAGTAGATGCTCCAGCAGCCTCTTAGGGCATCTGCCTGAAAGAGCAGAGACTTCTGGATTCATTGTTGCTCCTCATAGTGGGTTTTGTCACACAGTTTCCAAGTGTAAGGCCATTTTTTGTAAAGCCTACGTAACTAACTTCAGACTCAGTATTTTATTGCAGAGATTAGAATACCTGAAAGTTTATTTTTACTCTTTTGAATCTAGGTTGTAGCTTCTGAATCAGGGTTAGAGTTAAAAAACCCCACAAGTAATACATTGTGTTTTCTATGTATATCTGTATGTATAAAATTACATATTTTAATTAAAAAAATCAAGTGGGTACTAGTATTTTTATAGAATGCTACTAGCTAATTATAATGTTCATCTGTGGGAGGAATTTGTAACTCAAACTAGTGGTGAAAATTAACATTACCCATTCAAGATTAAAGCACACCCTTTGTATTAAATTGTATATGTAAGAAAATAAATGCAATATATCCAAGGGCACTGTCTGCTGACAGGTTCAGGGTGCCAAATGCTTTAATGGATTCTCAGATATAGGGAAGAATACTGTGCATTCAGACCTCACACATATTAAAAAATATTCATATAAGTTTTGGCTTGTTTTTAAGGGGAATTCAGACTTGGTATTGCTACAAATTAGTTCCAGATCCATTTTTGAATAGTGTACTTTTGGTCTGATTCTTTTCCTTCTGCAAGAATGAGTCTCAAGTTCTTTTCCTAGACACTGTCTTGACTATATCCTCAGTGGGACAAGAGGGCAAGACACATCATTAGACAATGATCATATCACACAATGTTGCATCAAAGTGAAAAATTCCTGTATCATTTTTTCCCCCCTTTATTTCAATGCATTTATATTCTGATGTTTAGGTGGAAAAGAAGAGATCAAATAACTACAGAAACCAGGCAGTGTGACTAACAAAATGCTGAAAGTCACTGTTCAGTACTTTGGGTTTTTGTCCCTTCACGCTGATAATCTATGTCATACAAAGCCAGAATCTACAGTGGAAGGAGTCTGTATCCACTTACTGCTAAAATGTGCAAGGAGGGAAACTGCCACTGGGATCTTAAACATCAGCAGATTATCAGGGAGCAGCCTGCACCACAGGATATTCTGCCAGGAGCTAGGGGCTCACCACAGCTCAGGCAAAAGCTGTTTAGTATCCCAAGGCTACCCAAAGCTGAGGTTTGCTAGTTCTCATTTTATCCGAGCTGGTCTGGGCATCTGTGGGCAGTTCCTAAGCATCCTCTGAATATTTACTTGCATTATTACAGTTTTCTTGACTTACAGAGGAGAACAAGAGCTGCTTTTAAACAAAGACTTAATTTATGCAACTTTTCACACAATTTAGTTGCAGCATACACATCTTCTGTGCTGCCAGGAATTTTGCAGATTTTTAATAAGGTTTTATTGAGCCCAGTGACTGTTGCTTATCCGAGGGGTGCCTCTACAGCAGATGGCATGTGCCATTACTGTGCCTTGCTTTCACCTGTCCTTTCATTTTCAGGTCTTTTATGCAGAATTCTGTGGCTGAAAAGCGAAGCTATCTAAACAGATGACTAAAAGAAGAAAACAAGTCTATTTTTTTGTCATGGCAAGATGCTCTATTTCAAAGTGCTTACACATTCACGTTACCAAAAAAAGATTATTATGACAAAAGAATTTGAATTATATACACTGCAAAGAAAATTAGTTTCAAGTGCATTTATTTTGAAATAAACAAGAATATTATATGTATATATTCATATTTATATTAAATAATATTATTAAACATGAAGAAAAAATAGTCTTAAAAACTAATCTGACACTTTCACATTCTATTTTATATTAAGTATCTATAGATAGGAAATATATAGAAAAATGCTAGAAGTGCTTCAAGCCAGCCATAAAAGCAAAGTGCACTATTGCCTAGGGCAGTGGAGCAGCCAAATGATGGTACAGCTGCTTCCTCCAGGGGGAGGTCACTGTGAGTGGCAGTCATGAATGAAAAGGAAGGATGGGAACCCCTTCTGTGACTCCCAATGTTTTCTCCTCTCTTCTTTGTCCTTCACCACTGTAGTAGCAAACTGGGTTTTGCATACGCTGACAAGAAGCAGTGAGACAGTTTTGCGTACCGAGACGATACATTGAATACCGCTGATTCCCTAAAGGATCACACAGGGACTGCAGCTTATCTGTGTTCTGCTGTGTCAATCCAAGAACCTTTATCTCAATTTATTTCATTTATTTATTGCTGTCAATAGTTTAAGGACACCAAGTTGGAAATTTTGAATTTATTTATCACAAACATTAACTGAAGTATCATCCTTTGATAGTTTTCTGAACTGGCCTCCATTTTGGTTTTTTTTTTTTTTTCAGATAAAAGCCACATTTAGGATATATTTTTTTCTACAATTCCCAGTGTGGAATTTCTTAAAAAAAGCTTCCTTCTCATTTTGTTTTGATTTTTCTACCAGAAATATATGTTACTATAAATTAAGCATTTCAAAACTTAGGTGCACTGTTACACAGACACCATACATCTATTCACATGATATTTAAGATGGTAATTGAGCAACATGTGCACTGAATAAAATTGTAAAACATTTTATTTCATGATTTGGACTAGAAATATATCTAAAAGCATTATTTTAGTTCTGTTTTGATTATCTGATTACCAAATATTTCTGCTTCTGATGACAATTTATTGACATTAGTTCAAGTGTGTGCATATTCAGCTGGAATTATTTAATGGCACGGTCTTTTCCTAAACAGATACAGATTTATTCATTATCCAGTAAATCTTTTCAAGAAGGGTGTAAAAAATACGTGTTCTTGATTTAATTCCTACTACTTAACAATAATGTTAATAGGCAGTAAGGAAATATGCTGCTGCTCAATAGCAAACAAGTAATATTCAAATAATATTACTTAGTGTTGTTCTGTATTGTGCATGCATTCATTGCATTCATGTTTTTTTGTTGTTTTTTTTTTTTTTTTTTTTTTTTTTTTTTTTTTTTTTTTTTTTTGTTTGTTTGACACAAACACAAGCTATTTATCTAGTTTTCAGATATGGCATTCCAGAGTAGCAAATTAGACAACTATAATTTCTACTCAGTGCCACTTCATATAAAAGTGCACTATTCACAAGAAACATATGAATTTGTACTCTACCAGAAACATACCAGTGTATGGCAATAAAATTTATAATAAATATTACAAAGTGTGTGCTACATGAATTTGAACATTTTGACTTTTCTTTGACACACTGCTTGTAAGACATCTTAAAATCTCTACTATTTTTTAAAGGAGAAATTCATAAACATAATAATAAGACTTGAAGAATCTGAACATTGTAGTTCATACATACAGTACTTTTCCTAGGTAAATACCTATCATTCACATTATGACCATAACAGCTTTACTCCTTGTAAAATAACACCCTGTAAGAGTTTAATTTGTCCATTCAACTCATATGTAATTGTTATGCTACTTAATGTAGTCTCATTTTCAGTTTAGCACAAACTTTTAATAGTGCTCATCTGAAAGTGAATTCACAGTCTAAACTGATGCAGGCAGTTTCTCTTCACTCCAAACATCTTCCTGCCCAGGTGTAAGACTTATTTTTGTTTTCTTTTAAATGACAAATTTATCTCAAAATAATAAAAAATAATATTCAAAAGGTGTTCTTATGAAAGAAGGCTTCTCCCACTCACATGGCATAGTTAGTTCATCAATTAAATAGAATACATACTGAAAAGCAGTTTTAAGAGTTGATGATCACTATACTAAGTGGAAAAGAAGTCCTGTGTTTTATAGTGCAGCTGGAAGATTCACCATTCACCTGGGTTAGTTTGTTCTTCATTAAGAATTCATGGGAATAAATAATTTTAGCCAGTGCAGATAATCCTGCTTTCTTCCTTTATCTCAGCATATCTCGTCTCCGAAATTGCTTCCACAGATCTCTGAGATGCTCACTGGTTACAGTCATCACACAAGAGTAATATTCATTCCAACCATACTTCGGAGTCTCCTGTGAAAAGTAAAAAACATACAATTGGAAAAAAGATACCATTCACTAAATTCATTAATTCTACCTTAAATTTTATTCAGACTCATACATACTAGATAGGTGTTTTAATATTAAAATAGTGAGAGATTAAATTTACTTCTATAAAATGAGAGTTATAAATTCATACGTAGGTTAAGTATTCAAAAGGCATCCTCACCTCACAGCACACAATTAGCATTCAACAAATACCCTATTTATATTAAAAGATGCAGCAAAGTATTTCCTCTTTATTCAGGTATGTCCAGCTCCCTCTCTAGTTTTGTTCCTTGCTTCTTTGTATTGACACTGTACTAAAAAGTTCACCTAAGACACCAAAAAAAAAGCACAGAAAATTATTGATCTTCATTAAACTGAGGCACTAAAAGCCAAATACCATATGGGCAGGTGACATGAAAGCTTCTATATATGAAATTAACTTACTACTAAATTGTAGTTCTGCAACAGGGATAGTTATCCACTGAATGGAGAGGAAAACTGGCCAAGGGTTGGCTTGGGAGATTCACTGCCCTGTGCTCTATGCTCTCTGCAGTTATCACTGGATCTCATCATTTCTTCCACTGTTCTTAACTCCCCAAGTCTATTTTTATAGTAAGTGTAAAAAATAGATGGAGAGATACTAAGAATTAGAGCAACTGGTGAAATAAACCACTTTCCTCCTAGTTTATATGCTGAGCATATGCCACATGGTGTGGAATATCCCTTGGGTCAGTTGTCCTGGCTGTGTCCCCTCCCAGCTCCTTGTGCACACCCAGCCTCCTTGCAGGTGGGGTGGGCTGAAGAGCTGAGAAGTCCTTGACTCTGTGTAAGCACTGCTCCTAGCAACCAGGACATCAGTGTGTCATCAATAGTATTCTCATCCTATATTTAAAACACAGTACGGTAGCAGATACTAGGGAGAAAATTAACTCACTCTTAGGTAAAACCAGGACACATGGTGAGACTGTCCAATACCTTCTTTTGGTTGAACTGAGTAAAGATGTTAAAGAAATTGTCACACTGCGGTACATTAAAATCCACCACTAGACACTGAAGCCTACATCTGTTTATTCTTATCCCTCATCTTGTTTAATTAAAAAGCACAGACGTTTATAAAGAAGTTGTTGATATTCAGAATACAATTTAATCCGCAGTACTATATGATGTTAAATGAAATCTTGGAAACCATACTTACATGAATGCATAATTTAGCTGATATTATAGGCAATCTCAAGAAAAAATGCCTAACTTGCAAATTGCAGTGCATTATTTAACAAAAGCATATTAAGTTTATTAACCTGTGCTTTAAGATATGCATTTACTTTTTATTTTATGAAACAAGTTCAGATAAGTGTTGATGAAAGTAATTAAAAGAAATGCTGAAATGCACTGACTGTTCATCTACTTATTTCTAATGTATGCACTGTTGTTGTATCTACCAAATCCCCAGAAGGAAGAGCTTGTCCACATGTTCTGCAATGCTTTTGCGTTTCACTGGAACATTCTCCTCCCACTGTATCCAGGTACGTTTTTAAGCTTCTTGTCAGGTTTAGGATCAAAAGCCCAAGTTCTGGAATTTCCAATTACTTTTGTAAGATGAGTCAGGAAGGTGTGCCTAATCACACACTTCTCACCTCTCTGCTTTAGAGAAGAGGTAAGCAAAAGCCCCTTCGAACAGTAAGCAACAGCTCCTTTCATTTTTTTAAAACTGTCTTTTACACTATATGTATTCAATTGCTGTGTACTAGGAAAGTATAAAAATAAAAAACTTTAAAAATTAGCTTGATGAAAAATTTAATCTCACTTGACAGAATGAAGTGTTTATAGAAGACAGCAATTTATAGTTGAAATGGCTAGAAATGAGGTTCTGAATCCATGCTTCAGTTTTTAATGTCTTTTTCAAAATAAATTTCCTTCCTCACTCAGTTTCAAACTACTATTTTCAGCTATTAACTGTTACCTCCTAAAAGCTTTTAATCAGAAATTTTGAAAATCCACAATATTCAGAACATCTTCAAATCAATTGTTTCAGTAAAAAAATCTTAAGATTCATTACTTCAGTAGTCAATAAAATCAGAGTCATGGCCTAAGAATCTATGACAGTTCCTGAGCACATGAATAGTTTAGCAAACAATACATTAGATGGAGTAGAATCCCTTCATAAGTTGGTCTCTAGCATCCCTTTTTGGAAATCAACTTTGAAAGGGCTTTGTTAGAAATTTCCTAGATAATGCTTCCACAAGACATTCAAAGCAGAGCTCTCCTCTGTGCTCTGTCAGGCAGTTCCCTACAAACGTGTATTTTCAGTTCTCCCTGCAGTGTATGCAAAGCAGTACCTGCCAATGCCCAGTCAGGCTGTGTGCCCTGCAGGGACCACACACAGCTTGTACACTTGCTCCCCAAGGAGAAATTTGCATTATTTATTATAAGGGTACAACACTCTTTACACTGTGGAGTAATGGCATTAGTGCATTTTAGAGATATGTGATGTACAGCACAATGTGCTGTTTATTGCTTGTCAGAGTGCAGATTCACAGTAGGGTATAATCTATGGCAAGCATGCCAAGTATCTTAATCTCCTTCACCAGAGTTCTACATTTGCCATGGAAAAGCACAGTGTTTCAAAGCACAATGAACGCTACATTTATATTTGGAAAAAAAGTACAATTAATAGTAGTTGTACTGCACCTAACTGTGGGATGTAGTTGTAGCTGATTTTTGTATTTTATGTACATTTATGTGCTTTTTTTGGACATCAGACTGAAATTTAATGTTGAAACTGTTCAATTTCAAATCTCAAATGATTCCATTTTTATTATCTTTTCAATTTATAAAATAAATGGAAAATAATGATTTTTAGAATTATGCAGAATCCACTTTCACTCCACAATGTATGGCAAATGCAGAACTATCTCTATTCTACCCCACAGTACTTTTGCCAAATCCCTTCATGTACCTTGGCTAAAGGTTCCATTTCCATTAGTAGAAGTTTACAACAAATCTAAAGAAATATTATGAGTTATGCAATGTTTTGCACAAGCCAACAGCTGGTTAAATCACTGTAATGCCTGGGCTTGATCTCAGAGGTCTTTTCTGACCTTAACAATTCTGTGATTCTGACTTGTGATAAGAGACAAGAAGCAGTTGCTCAAGTGAAGAGCAGTAGCAAAGTAATGTGTCAGCAGGGCAGAAAGAATTTTATATATACAAGGCTTATATTGTATTCTTCAGTGCACAGGCAGCAGGTATTTGATACAGACCTACTACTGAAGCAAACTTGATTACAGTAAGAATTTTTGTTACATCCAGGAGCTCCAGGTGGGAGGAAGAGCAGGGTAAATACCTAACAGCCTCTGCATTAACTCAGTGACGTTGCCTGTAGGCAAGTCCATGCCCTGAAAACTAACCTGGTTTCTTGTCTCCAAATGGGTGGTGTAGATGTACTATAATTCAATTTTTTTTGAGAATGACTTTATACAGAATGAACAACATCTCTGGAGATTTATAAAACCCTTTATAAATCTGCATGGTACATTTGTTCCCAGTTTACATCATCTCAGCATATGAATTAATTAATTTAGTGCCTGAATTCAGATCTGACAAGGTGTTGATGTATGCATACTTGATGCTTTTACCAGTCTCTCTTTCTGTCACCAAAATAATTTTATTAGGTTTGTTGATTAGATACTGGATTCCTTTGTGTCACTGCATTTTCTTCCACTTGGTCACATACCCTTCACTGAAATTATTAGGGAAGCATCATGTCTGTGTAGCATTTTTCCAGTTTCCTGTAAGAGCTGTTTCATATCTTGAAAAGTTTACAGTTTAAATAATTCTTAACATGAAACAACAGTATGGGTTTTGACAAAAAGACAAAGTATTCCTAATAACTATTTTTAAAAATACATGAGACAAGAAGAAAGGAATCTTTGAAAGTCAAAAGTTTCAAAGATATAAAGTTACATAAGATTAAACTAAAGTCATGACTTCCTCATGTGACTAGTGACTTAGATTACTGAAATATTAAATTTTAAAAAGTTTAAGCTACTTTATTAGTCATTTACACTTCCCATTAGTAATGTGGAGAAACCAGATGCTTTGTGAAGATCAAATTTCCTCTTCTGTCCCTCACATATTAGTACAATGCTTCAGAGTATTAGTGTATAGTATTGAACAAAAAGCCTCAGCTTAATATTGTGCCTCAGAATTAAAACCAGCAGGGGAATGACAGTGAAACCCTCCTGGCTCAGGAGCATGAGATGTGCTGGACTCCTCACAGGGTCACTCAGAGCAGACCCCTGGCCACGGGGCCTTGCTTGTCATGGTGTACATCTCTTTGCTCCTGCCCTCTGTAAAAAAAACCTCTGGGAGCCAACAGCCTTCAGAACAACTCGTGCAAAACCTTTACATGGAAACAGGAAAACCCCTTAAGTTGTAAAGGAACAAACTCTTCCTTTATGTAAGAGAAGAAATGTCTACTAGTGCAGCATCTATGTCCCCTGTGTGACAAACAGTTTCACAACACGGCTACAGCATAGGTACACCCCAGTTCTGACACTGAAATCCACAGTACAACTGAACTGTACAAATGGATGTTCATGGAGTGGATATGTGAAAAGGGCCACGGTGATTACATGTGGACACAATGCTGATTTTTCAAGACTGCTGGTACAGTATTAATTGAGGCAAAAATACATGATTGCTTTCAAGAATGTAGCAGTATAAATCAAAGTAGAATCAAGTCATTATAAGTCAGAAAAATCTGCCTCTATAATCTTCCTTGGTAAATATTTATTAGCTATAGGTACCTGAGAAATTACTTAAAAAGAGATAATGGGACAGACAGAAAACAGCAACAGAAACTAAGAAAAAATACTTTTCCTAATTTCAAACACAATACAAAATCACAGCTGGCTCACAGAACAGTGACAGTGTGAGTCAGTCATTACCAACCAGGATAAAATTTTATTGCTTCAGTCAAAAACACAACATGATGCCTTGAGCTACTAAGTAGCTTGCAGCCATATAACCTATTCCTGAGTTTTGGAACAGGAAGCAAAGCAGTGACAGTTCAACATTCAGCCATTCCTGCAGGCATGCTGGCACACTCAGACTGGTGAAGAAGCTAACACATACCGTCATTTATCTGCTATAGAGCTCCTTCCTCACGCAGGATTTGAAAGTAGTATACCTCTGTATAGGTTTGTAGCCCTGTGGAGCAGAAGATGGAGAAGTGTGCAGATGCAGACAACACGTGAAGGCAGCCAGGGGTAAGCATAAGACAACGGTATCATGAAAATACAAAAAAACGGCTTTAATTGACCAATAGCCAGGAGATACACTACAGTATGTGTGATGCAAAATGTTTAGCATTTAGTCATTGATTTCCAAGTCTTCTGGTTTAAACATGGAATTCGTAAAAGAAAGGGAATCTTCTTATAAATGTTTAAATTTGAAAAACAAAGGGAAATAATTATTTTAACTAAACAATAAGCAAAAAAAAAAAAAAGCTGTTCATGTTTAAACATTTTTAGTAAGTTGATGGCAATACTCTGACTGACCACTTGATGGCAGCTTAACATACGAGTTTGTGTCAAACTCCTAAAACAAAACAAGGTTTCAGGTTGTGCTACAAAATTGCAGAAAAAGAGAAATATCATTTGGTAAAGTCTTTAAGACATTTACTTTTCCAAAATCGTATCTAAAATTTGTATGAAAATGAACATTTTCTGTGTTCCTATAAGAGGCAGTACCTGACCCTCCTGAAGTTTTTAAGTTCAAGGCTAAGCTTTTAAATAGGACAAACCTGCTACATACTGACTGATGTTTCAGAACTGCATTTTCATTGGACTTGTGGGACTCTCTGCTCTTAAATAGGTTCACTTTCAGTCTGACTAAATAACCACAAAATGTCCTTTTCTGAAATACACAGTCCCAGTACCAAATCCTGTCACGGCCTCAAGATTCTGGGCAAACATAATTAGTGAAACAACTTTTAAAAAGGTAGAATTGCTACGTACAAGATGCTATTTATAAAATTGTACTTCACATCACAACTGATTTGAAGGCCTAACTGAGTTCCAGGCCTAACTGAAACTGTTATTTTGGGATGTTTTTGAGAGATAATCAGACACTACATTAATTGGCAGACATTAACTGTGGAATATTTAAAATTAAAATCAGGCATTTATACTTCATAAAGAAGTATAGATTTCTATGTTGCTACAAAATACTGAATAAGCTGAAGCTGTTATGATCTTTTATCTCTATAATGAAACTGACCAAATTTTCATATGGATTCAAAACACAGTTATTGGTAAATAAAATGTTAGTAATTTGTTAGTTTTGATTTAGCACAAGACGACATTTGAGCCCTCCACATTGTAGGAGCAAGAGAGCAAAGTTTTACTTGTTTTAGACACATTAATTACTCTGCAAGTTTTAACATACAAACATTGGGAAGCAATTAATGACACTTTCCACCAGTCTGTTCTGGGAAAAAAGTTCTTAGGCATTTTCTACTTTCCATTCTAAACCAAGACTGCAGTGAGTGGGGGGTGTTTATTAAGGCAAAACTTTTGCAGAATTTTTTTATGAAGGCAAATTTTTGCACAATTTTTACTATTATCCACTCTTGGAAAAAATTGGTTTGTGTGACACTTATAAAAACTTACTGGAAATTGTAATTGTTCAGTTTACTACTGTAATTGTCTTGGAATATTACTGATTAGTGAAGAGAATGCATTTAACTGAATTACAGGACCAAATCACAATTGTCTCCCAATCCAGCAGGTGTCTAATATTTAACTTAAATTAGAATTATAATTTATGAAAGACTGTGTTATTCTTCTGAATATTGGCTATTCTTTATAGTTCTTTTGCAGTCCACTGGAATATTTTATAGTGGTCCAGGGAAAAGCAAGATACATACATAGGACTGAATAGTGCTGGATGATATAGATTCTTAAAATTATATGTGATTTCTGTCATGCATTTTGTGAAATAGGAACATGTGATAAATACAAGAATTACTTAGTAAGCAGACTGTTTGCTGGTTAAATTAACATACACTGCGCATTTACAGTTAGTAAACAAAACATATAGCTGAACAGCTTGAAACAATTGTGAAACAATCATCATTACCACACCATAATAAAAGAAACTGAGGACCAACAAAGAAATAAGTTTGTTACAAATACAGGGGTTGTTATCCACATTTTAGGTTTGAAAATGTACAGAAATAACAAGTAAACTATTAGACTCAACACCACTTCACAGAAAGTTCTAAAATTATGATTAGGAAGCTAACTAAAATTAATTAAAATTACAGAAACAACATTTTGAAATGTGACTTTAGGAACCATAACACAGTTTAAGATTTATGTCTCAGTAATAAAGTAATAAGGTTGTTAATTAGAACACCATTTTACATTTAGTTAAAAATGTTAACACCTGTCATATGAAGAAAAAAAATCACTGCAAGTAATTTCCTGTCCTCTAGCTTATTATAATTGAATATTAGATACAGGGTTTAATTATTAAAATCAGCTCTGAACAAGAACACAGCATTGTTCAGCACCGCTTCACTAATTTTTATTTGAAAATTAAAACTACCTTCTGCTGCAACTCTTTCCAACTGTCATTATGAGCACTCGGTATTTTATATTATGTTTTAGAAGAGTTGACCTTTAACTAAACTTCTTGAGCTTGAGAGAGACAAAGTCTCTTTTCTCTGCATGCAATACAGACATAATTACTGCCGTTATTAAAATTCTTAATGCTAATCTATTAATCACACAATACAGAAGAAATTACTGTAATACAGGGGATTTCTCATCTCCTATTTGGTTTGCACATTATAAAGGTACATCACATCCTGTAAATATTGTTTTCTAACAAAAAAAATCAAAGAAGAATTTAAGAAGGATTTTATCTTACAGTTTGTTTCAGTATTTCTATAAATGTATGTCTTAAAGTATATGTCATAAAATGTATGTCTTTAAACATATGCACTGCTGGTTTGAAATCTACAGATGCTGCAGATGCTAAAGCAGTGGTAAGTAGCAGAATCCACTAAGGTAACTATAAAAATTAGAATCCTTACCCTAAACCCTCGATTGAGTCTGTCTTTCATAATGCCGATAAATTCTTTATAACTCAACTGGTCATCTCTGTCGACATCAAAAATCTTGAACACTGTGTTCACCAAATGAGGTGAGAGCTTCACACCTGTGGCTACATACACAGCACGCTTGAATTCATCTGCATAAGGAGAACACCAGAAAAAAAAAATGTAAAAGGTGAATTTAAGGGTACTTTGTGAACAGCATATTATGAAATATAAGTAAACTTTTAACTCCAGTTTTCACATTTAAATACACAAAAATATGAAAAAGTGAAAATTAGGACTGAATTTCAGTTCTAAACCAAGTAGTTCTTAACTGATATAAAATGATTCTGTTGAATTGGTGCTGATTATTTTACAAAAAAGATAACAGCCCTATTGTACTATGTGCAATAACAAAATTAGAAAATCATATTAACATTAAACTATGTTACATACATGGCATTTACATATTTGACACAGAACCCAAGAAATCAGAGAAAATCATAGAATTCCTTGGTAAGGCCACATGAGGTAGGACCATACTGGTATTATGGGGTCAGACCCATCAAGAGGCTACTTGGGAGAGCACACAAGTCCGACCACTTTGCATATTGCTCACCTTGTGTTCCCCAGGCATCACAATTGTTTTATTAAGGAGTGTAGTAGTACATACATGCCTGGTTCTTTAAGTACTCACTTACTGATTTGTTAAAAATCTGTCTGATCTCTCTTTGGACCTTCTGACAATGTTTTCTACAGTCTTTGTAGAAAGCCAAGTTTCAGATGCTGACTGTGTAAAGAAATGCTTTTGTTTACTTTAATCTGATCTCTCACTAGTGTCATCCAGTGCCTCTTAACTCTTGTATTGTAGGATTTGATGGACAGCTATTCTGCACTCAACTTGTCCACTACTTCTATGACTTATATGCCTGCTATCTCTTATGATATGAGCACGCCTTTTCCTCTCAAAGCTGGAGTCCTAGCATTTTTAGCCTTTTACTGGAAACACTAAAACTACAAACTAGGAAATTAAAAAAAAATGCACTTTTGTTAGCAGTTCTACATGGGTATCAATGGATTGTTATAAGAATATAGATTCTTACCTTGACCTATGGAACGACTTGCAAAATTATACATTTGCATTGCAATTGTGAAGTCCTCTAGATTGTTCAAGAATTGAAAAAATGATCTAAATTCTTCAAATGTGATACCCTAAAAACAAGGAGAACAATATGCACTGTAAGAATTACCAGTAGTAAAAACAACTGAATAAACAAACCTTGCAATTATATATGTCAACTTCATTTAAGAGCAGATACCACACCCATTTAAAAAAAAAAAGGGATTTGTAGTAAAAGTCAATAAAATAGAGAACTGGAGTTTCTTGAGGAATGCAATATGTCTTTTCTATCTGTGACTGCAACAAGGCAGCAATTTTCACCAGAGCAGTCGAAAATACTGTTCTATTGCTGAGGGCAATTTTTAAGCATTCCAGGGTTATTACAATACAATAGTCAATACTGAGAATAAAAAGTCTAGGTTTGGATGAACATTGGAGTATGTTTACTGAAAACCTGAAAACCACTATTATATATATGTGAGTGTATGTGCTCATATAAATACATTGAATGAATTCATAAATATACATGATCTACCTTAAGCCTGTACTTGAGGGTGAAATTTTCATATATCCAGATTTAGACATGCAAGTCTCTTCAGCTGAGGGTTTGCAAGTACTGCAGGGTTTGTCCAGCTTTTAAAGAATCAATCACATTTTGACCAGACTTTAGACTATCTTCTGTGAAAGTTTCACTAAATTGGTCTTGTTAAAAGAGTTTATCTTCATTCCTTGTAATTCCTTCTTTTCTCATCTTAGTTAGAGATCCAAACATCTGATAAACTATCTCTAAATCAATTCTGAAAGAGACCTGAAAATGAGACTTTGAACTAAGCCAGGACCATTGCCTATATCAAATTCCCCCTGGTCTCAGCCATTGCGAACATGGAATGGCATTCTGTGTCAAACCTTGATCTCCCTGGACTCCTTTAACTATAATTCCTGCCTATTTTTCCATTTGCTTTTATTCTATTTAAGTACTTGTCTCTAAAAATATATTGAAGGCATATATTGTGATACAATACAAATATATTGTGAGCCTTTATGTTCAAACTAAAACATTGATCTATGTCTCTGCTCAAACATATACATAGTCTTTATAGTATGGCGGAACACAAGAAACATGCAAATGTAAGTTTGTGCCAGAAGATGGCAGAGGTTGGATGCTAACCCATATATAACAGCAAGGACTGTGCAAAATGCGGAGAGCAGCATAATATTATTATAACAGAAAAATTTAATATGTCTCCATACACTTGAGATGTAACCCACTGCTTAAGTGATCCTACCTAACCACTAGCTAAGATTTATAAACTCTTTGGAGAGCTTGGCCCATCTCCATCATGAATTGCTTTTCTCAACAAGCACATCCTTCACAACTGGGAGGAAACCCTCATATACACAAGTAGAACTACCACCTTATTTTAATTTTTATATTAAAAACTGAATTTAATATTATCAATACTGTATTTTGGTTTCATTGCATTTGACACTATTATGTGTCAAAGTTCTACTTCTTGCAATGTGTTTAGACTGAAAACTCTATGGGACCGGAATGCCCATAGAGTTTTCAGTCTAAACACATTGCCATGCATTTGTGAAATTCCTAGATCAGTGAAATTTCATTTCTCAGCCAGGAGCCTCAGGTACAACAATAAAACAGCAATCATAGAGAACATCCACCCAAGTCTTGAGCTGACATTTTTAAGTTCACAAATCCTTAATGTGCACCAATTTGTCTGTAAAAGTTCTGAATGCAAAAAATAAGTGTAAGAGGTCAGGCTACTGCAAAAATCTTGCTTGTGTGCATGACTTTTGCTTTTCCTAGTAAACTACTCTTTCTCATCCCTCAAGTTTTCTGGCTTTTACCCTTCCGATTCTTTCCCTGATCCTGCTGGTGGGGGAGTGAGCAAATGGCTGTATGGGGCTTGGTCAATGGCTGGGATTAAACCACGACAAAAAAAAGGAAGCTAACTTTTTAATTTGGATAGACAGATTTTATTTTACTACAGCAAAGAAAACTCAGATTAATGTACCAATGCTGCTACAAATGCACAGACTTTCTTCAGGATCTGATATCTATAGTAATTCATGATGCCAGCTTACATGAATCACTGCTTGGCATCTAGTTAGTAAAAGGAGGAAGACATCCCGTGAGCAGGCAGCAGGCCAGCTGAGCATTTTAACATGATTAAAATATGACAAAAGATCATCATGCTGCTTTAGGGGCTTCTTTGTACAGCACCATGAAAGGTTAACGTTGCCACTGTGAGAGTATGGGCATATTACTTTACAGACTTGACTAATTTTTCTTCTGAATGAAATCCTCTGGTTAGTATTAGTATTGCAGCATATCACTGTCATGAAATAAAGAGCAAATTTTATAATCATCAAATTATAGTGTTATGACAAGAGCCAAAAAAATGTGACAACATTTGAACAACATATGAACACCACCTCCATGGCAGTAAGAGTCAAAATCCTATTCTTAAAAGCCTGTGGCCAGCATAAGAGATGTAGTGACAGCACATTTACCAAGCCAATGATACAAAGTTATGAAAAACAGCAACGTCTTGTTTCACTTAGTGGAGGTATAGCATATGACATACCTCAAATACCCAAATATATGGCACCCATCTAGTGCCAGGATATTGCCAGATCACAGCATAAAAGCAAATTTGTAACTAAGTGACAAAGCTTTCTACATGGAGGTTTTCCTTAACTGTTGGTCTCACCAGAGACCAAGAAGAGGAAACTACAGTGGAATACTTGCTATGACATTGGAAGACTTAGATATGAACTTCAATGACTACTACCTTGTATTCAAAAGAAAGTGTCTGTATATTTACTTAACTTCACCTTTGACATTCAAAGTATTTCTCTTTAACTACAACTGTTATTGTTTTTCAGTTTCCCAAGTGATACTTACATTATTGTTTCTAAACAAGACCCAAAGTGAGTGGGGTTTTTTTTGTTTGTTTGTTTGGGTTTTTTTTTTTGTTTTGTTTTTGTTTTTTTTTGTTTTGTTTTTGTTTCTGTGGGTTTTTTTTTTTTTTTTTTTTTTTTTTTTTTTTTTTGTTTGTTTGTTTTGTTTTAGATTTCCATCTGGAACCATGCAGTTATAGCAGTTCTGTTGCACTGTCTTGGCTCTGAATATTGAAAGCTGTACAGACCTTTCACAGCAGTTTGGTCTGAGCACCTCAGTGCCTAGAGCAGGAACTTGGAAAGGGTGACTGAGCAGGAACTCTGATCCCTATCTTACCATGTCATCTGACACCTAATCTGGTCAAAAGAGACAGCCCTGCTTTCCCAGCTATATTTAACACTCAGTGGCCCTAACTGCTGTACAACCACAGGAAGAATCCAGATAATCCAGATATCTGAACAGAAAACTATTGATTTTTGGAGTGTGCTTCTATCAGGTCGGTTGACTAATTCTACTTACTGTCAAGACTGAAATGCAAATGTCATTCCACAAATAAAAACAAACCTAAACAAACTGTTCAAACTGATTTATTACTTTTCTTTGCAAGCTCTGATGTTGATGCTATTAAAAATATAGCTATTGAAAGAGTTAGATTTCTAGGATAGATTAATCTGATCTTCTTCTGTAAACACAAACAGAAGAAGTATATCCAAAACATCTCTTGTTTGAAGGGCTACTTTTAACATTATCCTATAGATTATCACTGATGCATAGCTGCTACTACATTTCTCTCAAGGTACACTTCTAACAATGTATTTTTAAACAAATTAAGGGTTACCTACCTCCTGACCTTTACTGTCTATATTAGCATTTCTGTCTCTTCAGTCATTAAAAAACCCACAAACCCAACAATAATTACAAGCAATTCCTAATAAGACTATAAAACAATGAGAAAAAATGTGATGTCATTTCTAAGTAGATGCCTCTCTAGTGGGTAGGGAGGGAAGAAGGGAGGGAGGGAGGGAGGGAAGAAGAGAGGGAGGGAGGGCGGAAGGAAGGGCGGAAGGAAGGAAGGAAGGGCGGAAGGGTGGAAGGAAGGGTGGAAGGAAGGAAGGGTGGAAGGAAGGAAGGAAGGAAGGAAGGAAGGAAGGAAGGAAGGAAGGAAGGAAGGAAGGAAGGAAGGAAGGGGTTTTTTGATAATTCATTGCTAGAAAACTTTTAATGTCTTATGGCTTTTGCAATTTAACCCATTCTATCTATCTGTTATGTTCTATCTAAACTTCAAGAATACTACTAGCTAAATCCTATGGAATATAATTCTATGCTATTTACTCTTCTACATTTTATTCAGCAAGTAATCTGAAAAACCAGGCATGCAGTTTATGATCAAAGTAAAATCCTGGTGCTAAGTAATACAGTCCAACAAAGCTATGTTTTTATGTTAATGACACTGGGACTGCATGCTGTGGTGCACTGCTAAGCAATTACCTTTTCTTCAGGAATACTGCCACGCATGTTTTCCAGGTAACTTGATGTATTTTCCACATTTGTATACCTCAAGAGAATATGGGCAAAGTCTTCCTCACTGATGGTGTTCATGCCATTAGAGTAAGAAAGGAATTCTATCTCTAGAACCTCAGTTTGCAGGTTATCCATAAATCTAAAGCACAAACAAAATGTGAAGAAATTGTCATATTTTATATTTCTATTGTTCATGTCCTTAAATAAGGACAGGGCTGGGTTATAACCTTTCCACCCCAAACTAACTAAAATTTACAGCAGCATTGGAAGAGGACTTTTTAATATTGGGCCACTAATTGTTTTATTTTGCTCTTTGTGTATATATCACACACAAAGGGATCACAAACCATACAAACATACCTGCCTAAGCTATGTGTATAGTAATATAGTACACATTAATTAGAACAACTATACAAATATTTTTACAAGGAATTAATTAAGTTGAGTCTCACCTATAAAAATCTTCAAAGTTCAGTTCTGCTTTTCCTTTCTTGCCAAAAAAGTGTACAAGCAGTGTCGTATCTGACAGTGAACTTGTAATATCATCAGCACGCTTAAACATTAGAAAAAAAAATTAAAGGCCATGATTGGATCAGATACAGAAGTATAATCTGAGAATGCCTATCATCATAATAGACTTTTCTATTAAGAGTTTGTATTTCATGTTTATAGTCTTTAAGAAGATTTTAATACTGCAAACCATTACATTAATTTTGCCATGCAATTTTCACACAAAATAGCAGTAGCTGTTAATTGCATTTAGTAGAAAGTAGTTAAACTAACAGAATGATGTAATGGAAGCTGCAATGAAGGGAGAAAAGGTATGAAAAATAAAACCAGAAACTTGTGAGGAAAAAAAAAATCTCATCAGCTAAGGTAAACCATAAAATGTAACTCCCTTTGTACACAATCTTGCTTCCCTTCTACTATGAAACTACAAAGAAATTAAAGTACATTAGTTCATATACTCTTATTCCATATTTCAAAAGTAAGCATGAGATTGTGTTCCAAAATCACATCAGTTAGGTGTACTTCACATGATTCTTTTCTGTAAGTTGCAGATAGCTACGTCTTAAATGTTATTGCCCAAACACATTTAAAATACCAGAATTAGGAAATATTTTGAAATAATGAAGCAATATTTGGATTACTTCTCTTAAGACTGTTCCTCAGGTACTGGGTTGTGGTCTCTGCACAGGACTGGAATCTTTGAATATGTATTAATACTTTTCCCTTGAATAAATCGCTAAGGTTTTGAAGGCCAGAATTAGAAGTGAAAGCCAACTAATTTTGATCATTTGTGATAGCAAAAGTTGTAAAGAGGAATCCAAACATTAGTAACTGTGATCTGTGGATAGTGATTGCATACTATTCCACTTTTTTACTACATATTCACTGCCCTTAACTATTGTATATATGCATTGATTTTACTTCTTTGAAAAAGAAGCTCTTGATACACTGAAGAGCTGAAGAATAATTCAGTAATATAAGGCTCTTGAACAAGCCACAGTAGCCTGACATGATACTGTTCTCCTGGTATTAACATGCTTCTGCCAACACTAGAAATTTAAAAAGTAATGTATATATTACATTACTTTTATTACTTACTGTGCCTGCTTAGGAATTACCTCCTGTCCAAGCTCTCATCTTACAAAGACAAGACTTTATGAAAAGCACAGAGTAGGAGAGCAGTCTCTGCTCTTCCTAGGCAAGCTACAACCCATTAGGAAGTTTGTCTACAGACTCTAGTGTTACAGTACAAAACAAGGCACAGTACAGAAACCTAGCAAATATTTGGGAGATGTACGAGTAATAATTTATCACCATTACAATACATAATAAAGCTGGGATCTACCATAGGTACAGAAAACAGTTTATACAGCTCTGTAAAGATCGACACATATAAAATTGCAAGCCACACTCAAGAGTGTGACTCTATTTCTTCACTGAAGAGGCTATACATTTGTAACAGACAAACTAGGTGAAGAAACCAGGAAAAATTTTTTAACAATACGCAATAGTTCAACATCACAATAAACTACGTACCATGTAAAAGCATTTCAAATTTACATTCTCTAAAATACACTATATTATTTTCAGATTTACATACTGATTTGTAAAAAACGTAAAGTGCAATATTCATTAAGAGTATTTATGTATCAACAACAAGGGAAAACACAAGGCAGTAACAACACAAATCCCTTTCAACATCCAATCTAAATAAATGAGAGAGACTTTTCTGTTCTTTAGTGTAATCAGTTTAGGATTCTCAAGATTGCATTTCATGTACTCTAGCTTGCTCTTTATTCTCATATTCTTCTCCAGGGAGAAATAAGATGACATAGTGTATATGGAGGTAGAGATATTTCATGCCCTTCAATTAAGACAGCTCTGCTCTTCAAGTGAGCAAACTAATTCAGAAAAGTAATCACTATTTGTCTTTTAATATTGTTATCCTCCACTACAGGACACAATATAGTGAAATGCAGATACCCTGATTTCTTATGTCTTTTAAGCAATTAAATCCCTAAGCACATTCAAACAATTTCCCTCAAGTACACTGAAAAGATATCAAATGTTAAATTACAGCCTTTCATCTTGCAAAAACATTTCAAAACCTTAGACTTAGGTTGCATTCACCCATATCTAAAGAACCGTTTAAAAAAACTACAATCTGTAAGTCTTTTCACAATTCCCACTTGGTTGGCCTCACTAAATGAAAAAACCCCAAACAAAAACCTCACTGCAGAAACTCAACCCAGTATGCTTCTCTGAAGAACTGCAGGCAACTGAACACTATTCCCGTGCTCCATCTGCACTGATAGCATTAAAAAAAGTCTCTTTTATACGGTAAAGGATAAAACTAGAAGCTTTAATCATTTAAAGCTATTTCCACGATAAAATTAATTTTATTTTAGACCAGTGCAAATTAAATTGCCTCACCTGTTTCCATGTACAAATACGAGCCTCAATTTTGATCAAATATATTTTGCAGTCATTTAAATGTGAATAAAACCCTTCTCATTTCTCTTTACCTTTACAATAGCTGAAATACAAATGCCAGTAAAGAGACAAACTGAAGACAAGCGTTTCAGTCACTTTATTGACTTGCTGCATAATGGCAATATGTTTTTCTTTCTATTTTCTAGCCTGAAGTGCAAAAAGTCTATTCATTTTGTATTCAGCAAAATTAGTCTCAAGTTCTTGATTAACAAGGGTTGACTAAAAGTAGGTAATGCTTATAAGCATTGATTCCACTTTTACAAACATATTCCAATAATTAAGTATGTATATTATGATTTGATTCAATAAGAGCTTTCTTACTGAAAACCCTTGATTTTTCCAACAGTGATAACTAAGCCACTGATTTCCAATTTCACTTAGTAATTTAAGAATAAACCCCAAAACTGAATTTAGTGATAACTGCAATATTCCAAGAGGACAGTGGAATTGCTAAATTAGTCAGCACAGAAACAGTATTATACACTGCCCTAGAGAAAACTAGTTGTGATAAATAACTTTATTCTCCAAAGAAATCTTTTGATTCCCATAGCAACAAACCTTATTTACTCTCATTTTCGACTTACATATAGACTTCTCAAAAGCCAATGAAACAACACAGACCCCAGTGTCACCTTGCTTTATGCCATTTTCTCACTACAAATAGCTATAATATTATTCAGATGCAAGAGTACCTGGGAGAGATAAGAATATGGATGAAAGCCAGCTGGCCCAAACCAAGCAAGATAAAGATAATTACAGCGAGAAGTGGGAAATTGTCAGTGGAGAAAATGCAGAACATGATTTTTCTTCATAAAATTATTTACAAGTGAGCAGAGAGGCTTTTTATACACTTTACAGAGAATTTAAATCACTACTAAGTATAGCTGTTATTAAGCTTCAATTACAGCATAGTTACAGATATTAGACTGAGGCATAGGATATTAAAAAACCCCTCTCTCTCCAAATTAATCATGCGTAGAGATTACCAAATTTAAGTCCATCTATACTAGGGACCGAATTCATGCCAGCTAACTGTACATTAAGATGGCATTTCATTCAGAAAACTCAGTGCCCCAAGCTTCTTGAATAATCAGTGAAATTCTTCTCTCCCCTCTATGTTGCCTTATCTGACTAGACAAGAGCACTGTTATTCTGGATTTTAAAATTTGGTGGAATAAATTAGGATTAATAACTGGCTTAACAATTCAGAAGCTCATGAGCATAGAAGCAAGGGAAGATAGGCTGGGTTTACTGCTTTATTGCAAGATTACTATGTATATGTTATTACTATAGATATTGCTATAAATATTGTTATAAAATTCAGTTCTGTAACACTACATTTTGTTTTGTACACAAGCCAAGAACACAAGATGAGAGAAGTACAGAAAAGGCTTATTTGATACCTAGGAAATGTAGGTTCTACTTTAAAAGAAAAATCAAATACCTTATTTTGTTTGGCCCATAATTAAAATTCAAATAAATTTAAACAGAGGGCTATGACTGCATTTATAAACACCACCATGAGTATGAAGATTAACATTAAAGAAGAAAAAGCCCTATGAAAATTAATGAACAGCAGAGTGATATAAAGGGACTAGGAGTAAATTAAGCCTGGAAATTAGAAATAAGTCCATTGAAGTCCTCAGGTTATTCAATAGCTTCTGCAGAGGAAGAGCAGGGACAAAACACTAATTACTTTTAGTGTGAAGCACACATTGCCTCCAAACCAAGGAAAAAGACTGTTTTACTCTGTAGGTCAGTTTTGTTTCTTGTTCTTTTCTCATTATGATCCTGCTTAGGAAACATGGAACTCTGAGACCAGAGTTCAGAGTTGCTGAATGTTCTTAATGCCACTACCAGCAGAGCAATCACTCTCACTGTGTGGAGCACAGAAAAGCATAAATGGTCTAGACTTCTGACCCTCTGAAACGATAAATACAAAGAAATATCCTACTCAATTATCTAGAAGCAGATCATGAAAGAAGAATTACTAGAATTTAAAGCATTATGGAAATTAATTTGACAGCTCAGTGGTATTTCTATACCTCCATAATGATTGTGTAATATTACAAAAGATGGACCAATGTTTTGGTTACCTTAAAACATTCCTGGTTTTCTCCAGTAATTAAAAGAATCTTTGCATTATACTTTTTGTGAAGACTGATTCTGATAATATACATAAAAAGCACATTAAGGACATAAAGATTAAAAGCTCAAAGGGCTACAACTCTCAGTAAAGTTGTCATTTTACTGGACCACGCCTAAATGACAAAGGTTTCCTGAATTACTTCTCTGTGAACTGCCATGATTATTAGTATTACAAAATGCTTCTGAAGGACTGAAGAAGACTTAATCTTCCAACTCTTTCAAAAGGTAACTTTGTTTTTTCTTGGAAATGACAACCTTCAATTATCACATTGTAGAGAACGAAACGCCTTTGATCTGAGAATTTTGAGGTTTAAAACAAAAAAGGAATTAAAAAGAAAAGAAGAAACAAAGTGCATAATGTCAGAAAGCAATCAGAACAGAATAAATAACATAGCAGTCTGTTTATGGAGCAGAGACCAGAGAGGTTGTTTTATACCTCCGCAAGGTCTGAAAAGAGTGCTTGGCTTGTGCTACGTCTCAAAGTATCCCAATAGCTTCTGGGGACAGGGTCCTCTCCTTCTGTTTTAAGAACCTGCAGTTTCAAGAAGCACAATTGTTTGAAAAACAAAAAACAATGGAACAACCATTTATAAACTTTAAAATATTTTCTAACTGACCTTCAAAAGCAGAGCTTGGTTCTCTTGCTTCTAAACTGTGACATTTTAACCAGTTACATGACACTTTGTAAATGAAAGGAACACTGGTCTATTACAGCTATTTGCTTAATGCTCTTGGCTGCACCAAAAGTATCACGGGACTCCATCTTCCCAAACAAAACAAATTCAAGAAAGCAGAAGTGAAAATATTTACTAAAAGTAAATATCAAAATGGTCATTTAAACTCAGCATTTTGCCAGTGTTTTTTTCTATCAATTCTATTTTTCCAGAAAATATTAATTTATATACTTATGAAATTATTTTTTATTGGTAAAATTAAAAAAATCGCCATATAAATAGTTATATAAAATAATTTAATCTAATATGTATTATTACATCATTGCACCAACAAAGAAAGGCAAAAAACAAGCCTAATAAGTTCAACTTCAACTGTAACATACTTATCAGGAAAACACTATCCACATCTGATGTTCAAACTTACCTTGTCATGAGAATGAACACCACAATCTTCTATGCATACAATTCTATAATTATCTATTTTAAGTATTCATTGAATTTGTTCTCTTACTGGAGTTATTTTAGTCAATTGAATTAGTACTTCTGGCTGTGCACATTTCGTTTCCATTACATGCATCACATCACAGTTATCATGTTCTGGTTGGCATTTGGCCAGTGAAAGCACTCATGCAGTACATGCCAAAGCAGTCTCAGACACAAATGCAGTATGCACCAGAACATGACTTGAAAGATTTAACTTAAGCAAATGAAAATACTGAAATATTGAACTCATTTAAAACATCACCATATGCTTTTTATGGCCTATGGACCTCAACACATTTAAAAAAATTAGAACTGATTTGTCAGATGAAGTGAGGAGAAGGGCCTTATGCATGAGACAGCATGTTGGACTATCCCACACATTTTAGGGTTGCATCTCTTTGGAACCTGGGTATCTTCAGCTCCTGAGGACATCAAGGGAAACAAAAGACTGCTACACTTCTTGTTTAAGTAGGAGAAATAGAACCCCAAAAAGTTTCTGGAGATGAGAGATTTATTGAATTGCTATACACCTGGGTCTCCTTTGCATGGAGATCTCCATTCATACAGTAGGAGGGCAAAAAATATGGCACACACCTGGGCATTATCTTGGTAAAGTGCTCAGACACGGCTGCAGTCCAGAAGGAGATGTTTTTACTGCAGCTGAAAATTCCATAAGTAGAATACCTAACTAGCTTGGTTTCAGTTTGAAACAGGAGGAAGCATGGGAATATGGCAATCACTATCCAGCAAGTTTTGATACAGTAAAGCCTGACCTGAAATCTATTGAATCATAAGGCCTTGCATGTTCTACTTCATTTTTCTCACATCATTCCAGTATGCACATCATGTCAACTGCACATTTTAATTCAACAGACTTCCTTCCTGCATATTGCTCCAATGGTAGGTGCCAAGTCCACAATAAATAAATTTGTGCATTTCTGAACAATTATATAACTAAACAAATTTTAAAACTGGAATTTCACTAGTCATCTAACTCTCCTGGATCCAATCCCCTCACTAGGAATACCACAATAATGCCACAACAACATGAATTCTATTTAAACATAAAATCAGTCTGTTGTTTAAAAACTGTTTTACTTCTGCCATGATCCAGAAATTAATCAGGTCATGATGAAGACATTAAAAAACATCAGATGATCTCTTTCTGCTTCTTTTTCAGCCCTCAAAAATTATTGTAAAGAAGTTTACTGTCACCTAAGTAATACAGGGAATATTTTCTGTAAAATCCTTTCCTAGTTCAGCACTGCAAGTTCTTATGTATTTGTTCTGTAGGTGAAGCTTAAAAGTAGGAAAGCTCTTTTAAGGTTTCGTTATGAGGGCAACAAAGAGGTGAAGGATTCAATTGATTAATTATTCACACTATAAACAAGGAAACAAAGAGATGGATCAAATGACTCATGCATGATGACTTCATTTCACACATTAATTAAAAATATTTCTACAGTTTATTGAAATGTATTTTGTACTTTCCCTTAAAAATACTGTTTCCTCTGTTTCATATAAATAGAGAGCAACCTTTCCTCCTGATAGGCTTGCATGTTCAGCATGCATGCAACAGTCTTTTATGCAGGTCAAGAATCCTCACATTTTTCCTGATTAGCAGAAATAATTTACTCGATGAAAAAGATAAATACAATAGATTTTCTTATAGCATATTATTTCATCTCACTGGTGAAGACTGCATCAATTGAAAATAATTAGAGTACATACATTGTTAGTAGGAGTATGATATCCATAAAGTTGAAGACGCTGACATACAGCAAATATGCGCCAAGCCAAGTATCACATGTCAGAATGAAGACAAAAGAAGGGGGAAAAAAAGACAACAGAATAGGTTAAGACAAGCAAACCTTTACTTTATATATATTATTATTTTTGTTTGTTTATTTTTTTTCAAAATGACAGTGAAAAAAAAATGGTTTATTTTCAGTCTTACTCTTCAAATTTTCAAAAGAGAAGTACAGTTTTTAGAGATTACCCTCAGGACTTACGTGCCATTTTGCCATCTTTACGCTCTCCAAAAGCTATTCCTTTAGGTGTAAGCTTCCTTTGTTCAAAATAAACAGTCTCTGAGAGATTCAACAACTGACCTACAGTTTTGAAAAGCTAAGCAGGATAGGTCTCTCTGGGTGGGAAGAAAAAAATCCTTCTTTTTATTCTCAGGGAAGGTTTAAGAAGTAATAATTCTTGAAAAGCATACTTCCTGTGGTTTCAGGGACAAAGAACTGAGACTGAGTACTGATGTTGGCAAAAGTATAATGGACACTGAGAAGCTCTGCTGATATGTCAAAACATGCAAATTCCAAATGAACATATTTTGGTTTTTTTTTTTTTTTTTGGGTTTTTTTTTTTTTTCCTGCTCTCTGATTGGCAGAGACTTGTCCCTGATATTTACTTTTGCAACAGTAAAAGAATACCTGGTACTGCTGCCATCCCTCAAACACACCACCACAGACTCATTTATTTCTGACTTACCTTTGTATTTGTTTGTATGAAATGCAAATTTGATATTATGCGAGTACCCAATATTCCACAAAAATCTATTCAGGTTAATATATTTTGCACTGGTCATAAGAATTATTTAGTAAGAATTTAAATTTGAATATAAAATCAAAGTGCAGTTGTAACATTTCATAATCTATTTTAAAACTACTATGTGGATAACAAGCACCAGGATCAGAAGGTCTACATGAACAGCTTTAGTTAGTTCTGAAAGCAAGTGTGTAACTTGGTCTTCCCACTGAGATCTCTCACTCTTATAGACAGTAACACTGGCTCATTACTATTTACTTTTCCCTGCATTTCTAAACTCCACATGGAAGCAATTCTACTGTCATAACATCTACTACAGTATTTAAACACTATTTTTTCTTCATATAAATCACTTACTCTTTTTTTCCAGTAACTGCAGTTTAGGCTAAATATTGCTTTTTTCTATATATAAAGTTATACCTATTCTTTTAACAATATGAATTTAGTGTTTAAAAAAAGTGATCAGCGAAATATATACACACATAATTTTGTACTACATCAACAAAAAACCTCAAACAAAATACCAGATGCAACTTTTCTGATTTTACTTACCAGCATTGCACGTTTTTCTTCATCTCCTCTTTTTTCTCTCTTCTCATTTTTTTTCCTGAAGATCTCTTGGAGCTAAAAACCAAACCATTTTGTTCATCTTTATGTTCAGCCTGTTTTCACATACATAACAATATCCTTCATCATAAGGAACATTACAAACAGTATTAAAATACAGTTCTTTACTGAAATATCAGAGTTTCAATGGTGCTTTATTGCTCATACTCATAGCTTCATGTTCCTTCTGTGACTTAAACCATCACACAGAAATGGAAAAAGGAATATTTTTTCCCACAAAGTAAGGGTAAGAATTCTACTTGGGAGCACAATACTAAGAATGCCATATTTAGCCAACCTGGCCAACATAAAAAGGGGAAGTTCCACCCTTTTCACGACCTCCAGGCACATCCTTTCGTGTCAGGTTCTAATTAGTATCTCTGTGGTTATGTAGTCAGCTGGATCAATCTTTTTTTCACATTAGTTTCCAACCTGATCAGTTCTTACTCCTGCTGGCACAAGGGAGGGGTAGAAACACCTGGTGGGGGTGAAACATTCCCCTTCAGCAGCAACAAACAACAAACTACTACTCAGGAGTAATTTATCAAGTACCCTTTCTTTTCAAGTCTGTTCAAAGAATACCTTCAGGTCTTGTAAAATACCCCTTTCACAACTATCTCAACATGAAGAGCTTTAAACATTACTTCTGAGAAAACCTCAAATACAAGATTTCAAACAGACAGATTCTTAAGCACATTTATTTTTGTAAAGTCTTCAGAGTAACAACTGAATTGTACTTATCTTTCTCTGCAAGTATCTGCTTTATTTAGGTATTTCTATTTATAGTAATACCAATTAATGTCCCCAAACGGCTAGAAAAAGGTCTCATGGTGTTTAGCAACAGAAGAAAGCATTAACTATGATACCATCTGGTCCCTACTGGACCTTCAGCTTTTAAAAAAAATGCATGTGAAAATATTGTACTGTCTCATGTAGCATTTGTTATCCTCCAAGTGGGCTGGAAAAGGAATAAACCCTGATCTGAGAAACTTGCCCAACCTAGAATATGTATGTTCAGAACCAAACACCTTGGCATACAAACACAATTGTGGCAGTCCTTTCAAAGGAGCAATTTTACCTACCAAAGTCTGGTAAAACTTGATAATGTAATGGCATGTACACAGAGCTCCACAGGGATTGGAATGTGAAACATAAAGTGTGTGTGATAAATTTTACAAGGAAATTTTCCAAACTAAATTTCAGAATATCTTTATTTCAGAAAAAGCAGATGACTAAGACAAAGGAATCAGCAAGCTTTTCTGCATGGGTATGACAACATTGAAATGAAGGAATTCAATCTTTAGTGATTAAGTAGCAAACACTACATTTATAAACAAAACTAATTTATAAACAACATTTTATGAATTTCCAAAATTGACTACTGAGTTCTGGAATTTCCTATATGGCAAATACAGACCAGAACATTTTGTGTATCACAATACCTATTTTTGAGTATGAGATAAATTTATGGATCTTGGTAAATTTTTTCAAATTTTTTTTTGCAAACCTACAGGCACAAATTACTGTAACTTATGCCAACAAGGAAAGAGTCTTGAAAGGATAGAGTACTACAAAGTTTGCAACCCAGAACAATGCAAAGAAAAAAGTTAAATGAACAGAGAGAAACAGAAAGAAAATCCCTTGTGAAAAGTGAAGTGACAAGCCATCAAGCAGGAGAGAAGAGTGGCAGTAATTGAAAAACCAAAAAAGATCAGTAAAAAGCAAGGCATCCTTGGATGTATTTCCCCTGCCACAGAGGCAAAAGAGGTAGGATTCTGTTGCATGCATTATTAAAGCCCTTGCTAAACTTCTGGAAATGGATCTTTTGTTCAGAAAGAGTGCTATAGGATACCATTGACTGAAAAAAAGTGAATGCAAAAAGGGTCTAGGAGTACTTTCATAGGAACATTGTTTGAAACAGGATAATGAGATTGACTGCTGAAGGCAGCAAAAACAAGATCTCCAGTAACAAGGCAACACAATCCTTCTGTTCCCTGACCTCACCCCTATGACATAAGCAAAGAGAAAAGCACAAACTCCATGAAATTAGTTTACAAAAACAATACAGCTGTTATCAGAAAAATTAGGTATTTTTCAACTCTTCACTACACACTCTGTTTCCTCAAGAATCACATAACACATGATCCCTAAATGAAGCTACTCAAAGTCTCTTTATTTGTAAAACTGAATAGCATTTACGACCATTTTTGCGATATGCTGCCTCTAATTGATGGATAAATATTTTGCAAATGTTGGGGTAGTTCAAACGGCAGCTTTTGAACCGTCTCCTTCTTTCAGGCACAAAGGGTATGATACATCATATTCAAGCAAGGTGAGTAAAGATGCCAAATGTATGTTCTGGGGCCAGCTCTATCTCATCTGCAGTATCACTGAATCAACTTCTATTTTCATATATACTTTCATTACACAAAAATCTATCTACCTATCTATTTTAGTCTTTTTCACTTCAGATCTCACATTCTGACTTAAGGGTTCTGATTTAATTTTTGAAGGATCACCAATATCTAATGAAGCAGAGTTGCACTCAGGTTTAATCTGTACAAATTTGTAAAATACAACAATCCCCTACAATAGGTAGGGGACAGTATACTTAATGTTTAAAAAATCTACTTTCTTTCTTTTATCCACCAAGTCTGCTAACAGAAATAAGGAGAAACTTTAGTCAGGTATCATGACAGAGAACAAATACATAGCAGGATGTGAAGAGGGATAGTTAGAAAGAAAGATGTAAAATCCATAGTTAAATATTGTCCATGTTTCCCACTTTACATGTTTATTTTACTTCATTTTTAGCCTCGGTTTCTGAAAGACAAAGCCTCTTGCTTCAATTTCCTCCCATTTAGCTGTTGTAATGGGAGCTCTTTTTTCCTTCAGAACAAACTTGTCAGTCTATTCCACCACATTCTGTTTAATTGAAAGATGCTTGCTTTTTCGTCTTCTTCCTCTATTTTTTCCTTTTGTTAATTAATCCAATGTTTGCTGGTTTGTTCCTCCAACTGGAGAAGATGCTTATTAAGAATTAGCACTTACAAGGATGTGTACATTTAATAACAGAATACAAAAAAATGACCAGCATGCCACAATTTGCACGTGGTGTCACCTTCCAAAATAAATCTGGAATTTAAGCAGACACCTTTTCTGCTTAAGCCATGTCACCAGAACAAGCCCCCAGAACTCAGATCTTACTTCCCTGAAAAGGAGAATTGAGGGAAGTTCAGCATGTTAAGGAGATTTTCTTCCATATTTTGATTTTCTTAAGGTTAGCATAGTTTATTTAAATCAATTAAGAAAGAACACACAGGAAACTAGGGTGTCTTTATTTTAAATAAATTTGGCTTGGACACTTAACTACATTCCATGTGTCTCTTTCATTCTTTGTATTTTGCTCCATCTTTTTCAATAAGGCACTGGGCTTTTTCTCATGTGTACTCACAGTATTTATAAGCTCAACTACACAAAAATCTATGGAGATAAAATGTATGTCTTTTACACAAATATCTTTTTCCAACATCTGATTCAATTCTTATAAATGTTTTATTGCATTAATCATCTGTACTTGTTTGGTAGAAAATTAAGGCTTTGTGTAGTCCTCAGAAAGCTTGTCTACACCACTAATCACATAATTTTAAATGTTAATTTCTAAAGAAATGTCAAAACCTATGTTCACCATAACTGAGTACTTCAGTGTAATCCCAGACTGCTGCTGCCTCTGGACACTAACAATTTAGAGATCTCTGGTTTATGGTTCACTTTTTTTAGCATAAAGCCACACAATTATTGTAAGCTCAGAGTGGTGAATTTTCTGCATTTCCTTTTTTTTTTTTAATGATCAGTCACTGGCATTTATTTAGAATGGCATTAATTATTTCTCCCATTTCTTTTAAAATCAGAAAATAAATTAAATGAACATAAATCTAAAATAGCCCTCTTGTTACTGCAAGATCATTCTCCTGAACTAGGTGCATCCTACTACCTGAAAACTTATTAAGTATTCAAATTTTAATCTGAATTATTATTGAATTGAATATTGAATATTTATCATGATAAAAATGAATACCTAGTGGACGATTTAGGATTTTCAAAGATTCTCCCTCAAGTGCCAAATTATTCTTAATTTTCAAATCTCCCCAACATGTGAGTTTTTCTTCCGAAGTCTAGGCTTTTTAAAACTGTTCATACTTCTAAACTGAAAAAAATAAACTCTGCTTAAATAATTAATAAGATTAATTTACAGAAGTGCTTTTTCCAAGCCGTAAACAGAGCAAAGCTCTAATTTGAAAAATACTGTCATTCAAATTAGTAATGTAACAAAACCTTGGATGCAACCAAACTACTGCCAAGTTCTAGGTATCCTGCCATCTGTTCCAAAGCACGTGGAAATTATCCAGGTTCAAAGTCAGTTTCCCCTGTAGGAATATTCTCTGTGAAAAGAACTCACTGAACCCCAGCTTAGCAAATTGCTTCAGCATATGGATTTATGGGCTAAACTAGATATATGTACAGTATGTTTTATTTCATTACAGATTTTGTCCAAAACAGATGAGTGTCACATTAGGTCAGTTAATATTTTCAAGTCACTTGTGATTATCAGCATAATGAATGGCAAAGTGAGGTGATCTCTAAGCAAAAGATTCTTTTACAAGTCCTTTCATCATTAGAGCAGTTAAATAACTCTGCTAACCATTAAAACATTTCTATTACTTTAATAGCCTATCTGTTACCTACAGTAGCAATTAGAAGATCCAGAATACAAACTAGAATTAAACTTCAAAAATAATTATATACAAGACTCCTGTGTACTCTAAGAAGGAGCTTCTATTTTCAGTTTACATTATAATAACTCTTAATACTAAATCAGGCAAATAAACAACTACGTTCAGTGAAGAACAGGAGATAATATTCTCATGACTACTGACCTCATCACATGAGTTTCAAGATTACATCAAAAACTGCAAATATACATACCACTAAGAATTCCTTTTTGTCCACCATTTCATTGCCATCAGTATCGAACATGTTGAAAGCAATTCGAAAACCTGCATGTGGTTCTGCCAAAAAAATGCCAAACATTCAATTATTTATTTCCTTGGAAAGAAAGCAAGTATAATACTGTCAGAAATTGTTTGGTATCCTTTCATAAAAACTAGAACCTTAACAAATTTAAACCAGGATGTTTGTGTACATATGTTGTGATACGGCACGAAATGATGACACAGACACTGCTGCTCTCGAGGGGAACAAAAAGGAAGAAAAAGAGGAACTTTATTTTCTGACTCCAACATTTATAGTTTTCCAAAGGTGACAGTGGATTGGAGGGTGACAGTGCCACCTCTCCAATGCCACTGGACAGACCAAGGGTCCATCAATTCTCTCCACCTCCATGAAAGAATGCAAAACATAGGTTATTTACAGAACTGTGTGTGAGAAAGTTTGTTGAAAGAATGCAAACATCAGAAGGCTTAACAAAGTCTTACAAAATCAGGGCGACATCCATACTAAATGGAAATCATAACATCTGTAAGACAGTACAACCCTTGTTATTCAAACAGAAGGCATGCTCACAAAAGTAGAAATAAGACATGAAATATTCAAGAATAATATAGAAGAGTGTTAGTTCCTGGATAGAGTCCATTTTATATTACAAACACAAATATGTAGAAAATAAATTTTCTGTGAAAAGACAGTGTTCTAAAAGAGACTTTAAAAGATTTTGAAAAAAGGTACAGGATGCAACTTCAGATCAAAGTAAATGTAATGCTTAAAGACAATCAACATTTTCTTGTTTACATGTTTAGAGCCGTTGCAATTTGAGATCAGGTCAGAACTTCAAATTATTTCTGAAACATGGCGGCTTTGAAGGTAACTGTAAGTAAAGCCTTTAGGCAACATTTTGGGGATACCCACTGATTTGCAATATGAATGAATTATGGCCAAAAGTTAATTCAGATAACAAAGAAATTATGGAAGAATCATTGATGCCATAGTGGAAGATACTAAGGGTTCAGGGTGAAGTTCCAGCTCTGAATCATAACAGGAATCCAGTTCATGTCCAAAAAAACCCCACTAATGAATCTGATATAAATTATTTAATCACATGTAAGTGAAAGACAAGTAAAATTCTTCCCAGAAAACACCTGTTAAAAATATTTTAAAAAGTCTGTATCAGGCTTAGTTTACGTTATTTTACTTCAATTTTATGGGAGATAAAAGAATAAATTTTCCATTTTGTTAGTGTTTCTAACATAAATACTTTATGTTTTACCACTGACTCTTTGATTTTGCCCATTATGCACTAATTGATGAAACAAACCAGCAGTAATGTGTATCCTTCTGTGCTCCCTATGTTTAGTGTCTCTTATGAATTTCAGCATATTTAGCTAGAAATTTTGTAGGAATTTCGAACAAGAAAATAAATTTAAGCTCTTAGCTGGGGTTTAGCTGGAGCGTATGGCACAGCTTCATCAACAACCACTAAAAGGTATTCTGGATAATAATGCTTTTAAATAAAGCATTACACAAGATTCCAGAAGGGCAAAAGAGGTTCAGAGGGACATAGAGATGTATGGTGTAGCTTTTCATATGCAGGAATGGGAAGTGTAACTTAACACACAACAACACATTCAGAGCTTTGAAACTGCAAGGAATCTTTTAGACTTTTTCTCCACAAATACTTACTTGTTAAAATACATAAGAGGAATAAATATTCTGTGTAAGATATCACACCTGAAGACAAAAAAAAAAAAAAAAAAAAAAAAAAAAAAAAAAAAAAAAAAAAAAAAAAAAAAAAAAAAAAGCCATGTTAGTTTCATCTTGTCTTCACATCCTAAACTTGAAAACACTAAATCTGTATGTAAGGAGACTTTTTATACATGTGCATATTCATACTTGTATGCATGTAACTATATTTGGTCAATAAGTTATGGGTCTACAATATTCATCTATGGCTTGGGGCTTTTTGTTTGGGTTTGTATTTTAAAGGAAGAGTACATTAAACATGGCAAGTAAATTGACATTCAGTGGAGTACAGCTCATTAAACAGAATCTGGATAGGCTCTTAAAAGCTAATATAAATGATTTATTCAATTTTCTTTCCAAAAATCCCACCAGTCATTCATGATAATATTCTCTAATAGTATGAAAACATTTACTTTCAGAATATTCATAGTGCTTCCTCCTGATACACACCATTTGAATACAGTTCTTGACTTTATTAAGTGCTTTTTAAGTGCATATGCTATATTAACTGAAAACTTGAGCTCACAATTTTTTTTTTTGCAAGATTACAAAAGGGAACCACACTGTGTAATGGCACTTCCTTTTCTCTTCAGACGTGATTAAGGCAAAATTTAAATTGGAGATGAAGTCAATACCCAAATAGTAGGTCTTGTACCATAAGTTGTATTTGTGCCTTTCTAGCTCTGGAGTAAGGGGTAAAGAGACAACCTTGCAGAATGTCCAGAGCAGCAATGAAGAGAAGAATCTCATAGTTCAACAAGAACAGAAAACAACAGCTTGCAGCTCTCCCAAAAGCCCTTAGCTCCAATGACCTTTGAGGCTGAACTAGGGAAACTTGTTCCTGATATCTAGCAAATTGGTTTTGTCTGTCCTCCAAAAGCAGAAGTGTTAAGTCAGTCCACAATCTTAGATTATTTCAAAGGAGTGAAAAAAGAACTATTTAGATGCCTGAGAGTAAAGATGTCTATCAGCTAGGATTTTCAAAAGTTGCTGGCTGTCTCCTTGATTTCAGTCCAAGTCAGGTGCAAAAGTTTTTCCAAAAACAACCGCATCTTTGGATGTCTAAATATCTTTTAAAATCTGACTTAACTGAAAATGTGACAAACTAGGTAAGCAGTCATCTGTACTTTTTTGCACTGAAAAACCTGTACAATTAAAATGAAAAACAATGTATCATTCATTCAGTGGATTTTACTTCCATTATACTTCATATCCCATCTTTTGATTCAAGAGCAAATTTAAGTCTTCAGAACCAGTATTTTATTACTGTTAGTAGATCTAGTTAGGAAAGCTACTATGTTTTTTTTTATACCACCTACTCTTTTTCTCAATTTACACATTATTGAAGATTAGCAATGATTAAATACAGGCATTTAAGTAACACATGCTCTATGCTTTATCTTCTTGATTTTATACAGAAGCTTGCAGAAATTAAGTTTTCAAAGGCCTGATTGAATCTGTTTGGACAAGCACCTATCGAGAAATCAGATACCTCAAAGGCTCTCATTCACTGATGGAAAACATTCTTTAATAGCCAGTCAATAAATGTAAATATATTTTTTTGGTTTTTTGATGGCACCATCTTTGTTGTAAAACAGGAAGAAAGTGCAGTTGTTAAGTAGTCCATCACAGGTATGAAGAAAGCAATAGAAAGGGCCTTGAAAGCCTTCTCTCCTTTTGTTTGTACTGGCATATTGTAGCTGCAGACAGATAGTTCTGGTTGATTGCTCTGAGTGTTATGGGAGAGAGGCTCTGAAATGATGATTGAAGGGGAAGAAAAACTTACACTAGGATAAGAAAGAAGAGAAGGAGGGCACTCAAAGGAAAAACATAATAAAAACTTAAGGTCAGTGGGCATATATCGGAGTGCCTCAGCTGAATTATGTAAATCCATGGCAAAATAAATGGACATAGACTTTTACTAATTGTTTTGTATGTGCATGTTAAAAAAAAAAAGAGTAAGAAACAATAAAGTAAAGACTACATTATCACTAAGGAGACCTGAATTCTATTTCCATTTCTTTAACCAATTTACACTATCAGTCATAAGACCCTTCATATTCTCTTATATTTTTTATAAAACTGGGCAACAGAACTCACTTTTTCATAAAACATGCTGAAAAAATATCCAATAAAGCCTAATACTAATTTTACCATCTTATTTTGAGAGTTTGGGTCCTACCAATTCCATCAATTTCTGTAGAACTCCACTGGCAGAAATATGGAGTAAGATACTGTTGAATCAAGACTACACGTCGCAGACATTTTATTACAGACTTAATAAGCAACATCTAGATACATTTTTAACTGACTGATTTACCAGATTCTGAGGCTGAATTTTTATGCAATTAGTATTTCAAAAGTCAGCTGTATACTGCAATTAATATATTTATGCAATTAATATTTCAAGAGTCAACTATATAGAAAGCAGCCTAGAGCAAAGAAATACACTGAAATACAATGCAAAGATGTGCCAATTTCTGCCTCTCTGTGAGTGTTGGCTGTAGACTCAGGAAAAAAAAGTGAGTGCCTCCATACACTAGAGACTCTCCTTTGAGAGTATGTCCATACTACTTACTCCTTGAAAAAATTTGAGCTGCATTTGAGTTATATTAACCAATTACATGCATACACTTGATTGGAATTCTGGTGCTGGTGTGCTTATTTTAAACTCCCATAAAGTGCCCCTCTTTTATAACAAGTACTTGTGTCTGCTTTTGAAAACATTTCAAATGCACCACCACACCTTTGCCACTCTGAATATAAGCAAAGAAACATGTGGATTATTTATTATAAATAGCTTTTAAATTACTGTAAAGCCATCATTGTTTTATTTCCCTATGATTTTTTGTTTTGAAGTGATAGAGCTTGTTAAGAAAGAAAAAAATACTACAGAGGGGACCGGGAGTGACTCTTGGCTCTTCACTTACAAATAGTGTGAGTTTTAAAAGCTATCAAAGCCCTCACCTGCAGAGTTTAAAGGAATATATAACATTTCTGAAACTGTCTCTTTGTGTTGTGCACAAAATGCTTTTCCAGTGAGATAAGATACACTACTGTCTTTAGAAATAATCACATTATTGAACCTATTGAAAAGAAGTAAAGAGATATTGTTTCTTTACTGGAATATTCTATCTATAGTACAGAGTCATTCATGGCAACAAACTGAACCTGAAATATTCAAACATCAGCTTAACAAACTCTGAGTCCCCAATCACTTAAAGGCAGTAGCTGGAAGATGGCATCATTAAAACACTGTAGAGATTACATGGAACTTTTTCATGCTGTAAAATGTGGAAAGCAACAGCAAGCAATTTCTTTATTTTTGAAAATGGGACTCAGATTAAAATATACCATCACAAAAAAGTTAATATAATGGTAATTTGGTTCAAGAAAATAAATTCTCCTCAATCACCTTTCTCATTAAGATTACGGAAAAGTTTGGATGATCCTTTCCAAACTGGTGGTGTCTCCATAAGAATCTGATTCAGCTCCTAAAAAATAAGGTTTAAAAAATTTTAAAACATATATTTCAGTATTTAATGAAGTACTTAATAAATTTTTTATTAAATTCTAGAATATCAATATAAAAGACAAGGAACTGCATGCAAATCTACCAGTTAATTGAACATCAGTTACCACAATGACTTTGGAAGTACTCAAGCACTCCGTAAATTTTTGCACACACGATTATTGCAAGAATTACTCATCTGCATGAATACTAAGTGTTTGCTTAGCTGGAGAGAGACATGCAACATATCTGTGGCTAAAATAACTCACCACTGCTCACATTGCCTGAAGCCAAGGATAAGTCCCCCTGGATTTCAGTAAGGTTTTCATATAAAATCCGAGCAACTGTTCTTTTAAAACACTCGATCTGAACTAAAGCAAACTTCACCCATGAATATGAATGTACTTTACTTAAAATACAGGGAAACAGAGTCCTTTTGCACTTATACAAATGAAAAAAGAGGAAAAAATAAAAGGCACTTAAACACCACAAAAGGGAGAGAGTGGCACAAATATTTCAGGCAGTTTTGGATACACCTATTACACCTAGACACTAAGAAATGTAGTCAGACATAGACTGAGGAAGAAACTGACAGATGCTTGAGAAAGTCAGTAAATTCAACAAAACAGGCACTGCAGCTAAAATATCTGAAATTCTGGATTCAGCTGAGGCTGAATTGACAAAAATGAAGAAATTAAACTCTCCTGTGCCTTTATATTTACATCACAAACAAAATCAACTACCAAAATGTATGGTTATAAGACCACATAGGAATTATTGCTCACCTGCTTTGAAAGGGATCGCCACTTTTTAGCATCTGCAAAAAAAGAAATTGTTATGAATGCATAGGAATTTAATTACGCCAGTGTGGTTCATAAAAATTGGGCTACATATATACTGTGTTTTCTACACAAAAATTTATTTGCCTCACTTCATGAGTGCAATTGTCTTTATGTTATTGAAAAAGCCTTTAACTTAATACATACCTAAAGTCCTAACTTCAAAGAACCAATTCAGATGTAGTTTTTAATTCAACTCTGCTTCAATGAGGGTAAAGACCTTCAACCTCCAAAATACATCCTTAAAACACCTAACAGGAAATAGAGGTGCTAACCCCTGGTAACAATATTCTGAAATGATTATTTAGTAGCAGTAGTATTAAAATGCAAATTGCAAGGAGAACTGGATTACGACCCTTGCTTCATGGACCACTCATACTTTTTAAAGCAAATACAGAAAAAAAGCTCTTGAAACTACACCAAGTGCTAAGACACTCTTCATCCCTTCCTACTAACTCAGATTCCTTTTCCAGCCTCTGTCAGGCTCAATTCTTTGATAGCTGTTATTGAACAAGAGTTGTCCATAATCATTCAAGAATTCAAAACTTGAGGCTCATCACCACCTTCTCAAGACGTATTTGTACAGATTCAGTATTTGTACAGATTCAATATTATAAGACATTGTGAATATTAGAATTCACAAAGGTTCAGAAAGTAGCATTATATGTGGTCAAATCCATAAGAAATTTTTGGTGGGTAAAGGCTTCTTTTCGTAGAGCAAAAGACGCTTTGTTATTAGAAATCCTTTTCTCATAATGAACTTCATGCTCCATTAAATAATTAAAACAATACACAAGCTACCCACTATGGTCTTTCATCAATTCATGGTTAGAAACTGACTGAAATTTTAATTTTACATCTTGGTAAAGGTTTACACCAAGACTGTTGACAAATCCCACTCTAATTATGGTAAAGTTATATCATGCAACATCATAACATGAGCTAACAGATTTTCATAAGCTTTTCATTTAATTTTTTAAATAAAATCCCCTAAAGCTATCTCATTTGCCATATAGATTTGTGTATGTTTATGCCTACCATAAAAAAATTGGAGAATAAATATATCTAGTTTTTCAATCAGATAGTTTCTCAGTCTCTCTGTGTTATATACGTATTTTCTCCCTAGACAAGTCAGTGAAGATTTATGTGTGTGTGTGTATATATATATATATTTCTTACAGCTCAGTATTAAGCTAAATTTACTATAGTTACCACAAAGGGGAAAAAATATATTTCATCTTCTCTTAATTTGCTTTCTCAATATATAAACATATATTCAGATTATAAAAATGTATCAATAACGATTCTTAAAAATAATGTACGTTCTCAAATGAAATCCTGCACCATAAAGGCTGAAACAAGTTAATGAAAGCATTTATTTTATATTTTTTTGTAATAAATACCTGGAGTAAAAAGTTACATTTTATAAAAGAAAACACACTATGACCATATTAGTTAGTTTTTAATCAAAAAAGGAAGTGAACGCCCTCCTGACTTTTGTAGGGTTTACATGATTTCCAAAGTAAATCAATTACAATAGACACATTCACTCCATCACAAATATCATTCAGGCCTAATATTATTAGCTTTTCTATAAAGCAGACATAAAGAGCTTCTATTATTATACTTCAAAGGGCATTTTTGCTTTTTGACAAAACTCAAGACCTTTCTACTCTTCATTCTTAAAAACCTCAGGTATACATTCTTTTCTTATTATGAAAAATATAGACGGTCTAGTATGTCAGCCTCAATGGACCCAATTATATACAACTTGCATGCTATTTATAAAATTACCCCAAAAATAAAAAAAAAAAAGTTTAGAATGTATGATTAGAAAAATTCCTTCCTTAAATGTACAACTTTCAACAGAGCAAGACAGAAAATGGACTTGCCCAAGAAGACAAATGGTACTTTGGCAATACTGCAGTACAAAGGTTAAAATTGCCATAGTCAGAGATGAGAAGCTGGATGCTGTAATCTGTGGGTCATCTATTTCAGCTATTCTGTCTCAATTTCTCAGACAACATGACCTGCACTAGAATGAAGTGATCCACTTCTACTTAATTGTAATCCTTTAAAATAGTTATGTCAGCCATGTAATCTCTGATACCACAAAACCTAAAAGACACCCAGGTTAGTTTTCCTTTTGGTCTCAGAGGTGAACTGGATGAACAGAGAGAATTTTGATAGAAACAAGGTTTGCTACACTGAATTCAGAAGGATGCCTGACTGTTCAACTCCAGATCTCTTCTCGTTTTCCATGAGATAAACAGAATGTCCTTATGCACTTAATGATTTTTGTTTGGTTTGGTTTTTAAAATCTGAATACTTGCTTTATGAGAGGAGGAAGCAGAAACTTCATTGGCATGGAAAAATCTTAATAGCAAACCATACATGGAGTGTGGTCTAGGAAATCAAACTGTCATAAAACCGAGTTAAACCAAAATGTTTTAATGATGTCCAGTATATACAGCACAAATTCTTCATAAACATACATGGTGAAACCCAACTCCACACTAACAAAAAAGGGAAGAATTGAAGGTCTGAGCAGAGGAAATAGATAAAAAGTGTTGATGTGTATTTGTATTAACTTGTGTGATAAGCAATCTGCTTCCTCTCTTTTAACTGCAAAGCAAAAAGAAAAAAAAAAAAAAAAGATTTGTTTTCTGGTAAGAGTTTCAAAGTTTTGCAAGTTTTCACCATCTAAGCTCTATCTATCACTGTTACAATGAGATTATATCTTTATTCAAAAGTTACACAAGTTTTGATCACTGATGTGCCATGACTGAATTCTTTCCTCTTGTTTCATTACTTTTAACAGAACAAAGGGGGAAAAATCCAACATCTGCACAGAATTTTAAGCTTCCTCTGACTGTTTTAGCACTGCATTTGACTGTTCTCTATACTAGCTTTGTGGTGTAGACTTAATAAAGGAAAACTTAGGGTGGGTGATTATACGTGTCACACCTGAGCAAAGATATTCCCACTCTCCAGAAGCTGTGTGCTGCTACCAATGCACTGCAAGCCTGAGGGCCAGGAAATCAAACTAGAGCAGAAAGGGATCACCTTACTATTTAGTCACTCTATGATACTTAAAGCAAAGATTTTGCAATAAACGACCTAAAGTTGATAGTTAACTTTTGTTAATTAACACACAGTACTAACACTGGCAACATTTAAGTGTAGAAAGTTGATCCCCTGGGGGACTAAAACTCTCACTCAAAGCATGTTATTTAGAAAGCCATGATACAGTTATACGTTATATCTTATCTTTAGTCTTTTAGAGAACGTGTATGTTGCCTGCTTACAGAGAAACCATGCCAAAGAGGAAGCAAGAGTTGTACAGCAATACAGGCCTGCTCAGAAAGAAACTGTGTCAATGCAAATGGCACAAATCAACTTGCCATCTTTCATAACTATTAAACTGTTTTGAACATTTAAGACAAGAATGTTTAACCAGCATACAGATGTTTGCAATCTAATAACAATAAGGATACTGATTGTATGCATTTGGACATAATTAAAATTCTGAAGATGCAGTACCTTTTTACTACAATCAGAAACAGAAGTAGAAATCAAAAGCAAATGGGAAAATAGCATGCACCACGGACATTTTCCCTAGCAGTTTTAGCACGGTAAAGCTCCTGCTTACATTTGGGATCATCACTTGTAACAGCCTGGATGAAGTCATGTGGAGTCATGTATAGCTGTCCTTCAAATTCCAGACTGGCAAACATACGAAACCGTTGCTCCCGTGGAGTTGCATAAAGGTGTAAATCTTCGAGGTCTGATCTGTTCTCTGTAACCTTCAAAGAGAGAAGGACACAGTTTCAATCTATGAAAATGGTTCTGGATTTACAACTGTCACATTCACCATAAAGGAACTGTAACTATAAAAGTGATAATTCATAAAGTTAAACATATCCAAGTATCTTTCTGTGGTAAGAGCTGAAACTACAATTGGGATTTCACTGTTATCATTTTCAGTCTTCTACAACTTTAGCAAAAATCTCTGTGTATTGAAATGGGTGGTATTACCCAACTTCAGACCAAAAAATTAAAATATAGAGAATTTTGGCTCCTGAATCATAGAAGGGGAACTTTAACTCAAGGAAGTCATTGTAACTTCAGCAGGCAGACTTCAAACAACTCTGCCAAAACTATTTCAGTTTTCTGATAATTCCAGAAGAGAACAGAGTAATACTTTTCCTATATTGCTTCTTAATACAGAGTGCAGCTGTTGACAGTAATAGGCCTCCATAATATACTCCAGTGTAAAGCTACCATATCTGTGGGAACTGAAGAAGAGAAGAGCATAATTAGAATTCCAGAGTTACAAAAGTATAATATAGCATTAAGTTCAAATATCATGAGAGCCTATGTTTCTCGTGATATTTGAATATGGGTATATTTCCCATCCAGCTGATTTAAATGTAAACTTGCCAGTACAAAACTGTAAATGTTCTAAATTCTCACATCTTTCTGTGGCACTGCCAAACCTTTAACAGAAAATATGCTGCTGCTATCTGAAAACTCTTTTTAGACCATAATGAGGCAAGCTCCTCTGTGGAATCATTATCTTGAAGGAAATGTAAGTATCAACATTTTTTCAGAGATGAAGAAACCAACTGATTCCTAGAAGGAAAAGCAATCATATAGGTAACTTCTCCCATTATGTTGAAATAGGAATCTTATCAATGCAGCATCTTATCAATGAAATCTCCCAACTTGCTCATTATTCCTGTCATTTAATACAGTATTCCTAAAATTCTCCATCTGTCTAACTAAGGAACACACAATTTAACTAATATTATATTTTCTTTTAACAACTAAGAAAAGACAAATGCACTTTTTTTTCAGAGAGCCATCAAAACCCGAACATAAGTTGTAAGATGTCTGCAGTGGCTGTCCACTAAGAGACAACTGTCCTCAAATAGAAACACAAATTTGTTTTCCAAAACCCTTCTAAGAACAGATTACAGATTTCAGCAATTAGAAGCAAAACCACTTTTATACTGAGTAGTCAAAGATCTGGGCTCACTTTTCTTCAGCTTTTCAAACAACATCCTTAAAAACCAAAACATTGGTGAGACTACCGCAGTCAAAATTTTATGGCCTCAGTTGTAATTAGGAGATTAAATTAGATTTGTATAAGAGAAACATCAAAAATTAATGTGTCTAGAAGAGGTGAAACATGTTCTATTTGGGAAAAAAAAATGTCTTAAAGGGGAGTCTTACTACTTAATACCTTATCTAGGACATTTGAGCCAGCCTTCTATAAGGACAAAAGACTATTGACTGTATTTCTCTTTCTGGACTGTCTCTAGTTCTCTTGAAATCATTGCTCCACATTGTATGTGTGAAAATGTTTTGTTTCAACAAACAAACCTGTCATAGAAAGTAAAATTAAGAGAAAGGTCAATACAATAATTTAATTTTCAGTAGACTGCTCACAAATATTCTGCACTCCTGCCTGAGAACCACTTCTAAATCAGGGCTTCATGGTTTTTACAATTGTCAAATGATTACCAAATTAAATATAGGGAGAAAAAAATAGTCTAATAGCCAGACCTATAAAGTCATCTTAAAATGACAGAAAGAAGCAGAATTCTTTTCTAACGTACCCACATGCAAGACAAAATATTTCTGTCCTATCTCACTGTTCGAATATTTTGGTCTTACTGATCCTTCAGCAGTCCAGTGGCATTCAAGCTATGCCTTCATGTGGGAAGTACACAAGTCAGTTGTTTTGACAGAACTTGTAGTGACACAACTGATTATTCCCGTATTTGAAGTTTAATAATCTATCTTTTTTTTTGAAATGTATGTTATTTTATCACTATCAGAAACATGCTCATGAATACAGTCAGGTTGTAAACACAAGTAATAAAGCAATATTTCTGCTTTGCAAAGCAGAAATAAGCAGTAATAAAGTCAATTTTCAGAAAAGAAACAGCTTCAAGGCCGTATTACACACACTGTATGTATAATAAATTGTGATCAGTCATAATCAATCATACACAATCATGGAAATCTCTAGATAATGTAACTCTCAAATATCATTTTACTTTTGATCACTGTCAGTATTTAGAGAGCATGTTGAGATTCTTTGCACTCAAGAAATTCTCACTGTCTCAGGTACTACTGTTTAATATTTCGCTTGAGACACTCAGAAAAATATTTGCTAAATTCTCAGACACATATTTCAATATTATCTTAAGGACTCATGCTCCTACAAGTATAAAATAACATGCTGCAAACATGGAATTTTGAAGACATGCTTAAAATTTATGCATGTCACTACTCAGGTCTGCAAACCTTTAATTTCTGCCTCATTTTTCACTCTAGTTTCTCTCTGACTATATGGAAATGCCAATATTTCATGCTCTGGCTCAAAATCATGGTAACCTGATATGAATATGGAGCCCCCCATGAAGAAGAGCACCTCCCTAAAGGCCCAATACCTGCATGACCTTGTTCTGGTGCTTTATGTTCACTTTTCCAAGCATCAAACTGGATAAGGGAACTGCTCCGACTGAGAACTTTTCTACTGGTGGTAGAAAAGCTTTTTAACTTTTTAAAGTTTAAAAGTTTTTATTTTTAAGCCGGATAGATGCCTGGGTCTACCCCACAAAAACAGTTATTTGTTTCAAAACCTAGGCCACAGGAGCTTACAGATTATGAAAAAAGGAAATACCACCTGTTCCAGCAGCAAGCTCCACCTACATCAAGTGAGGGAAAACGGTGGGCTTAAGCATTATTTTATTCCAAGGAGTAAAACCACCACTTTACTTTGAACTTGGTGGATTGATCTGAAAGAATCAAAACAACTTCTTTCAGTTATTGATCCAATACGAATTTAAATAAACATAAACAAGGCTTAATACGTATTGCATCACCGATCCATACACTGAATGCCCAAATAAAAGCAAAGTTTGGCTACAGAAGATTCCAGGCACACAATCAGCAAACTGACAAATAAAACTTTCTTTGGAAATAATATTTTTTAACCAGATTTCTTTTCAGAGCTTTATTGCTTCTATTATGCTTAATAATTTATCTATCATGCAGAACATTTTCTCTTGTATAAAAGCCGTAATTATTGGGAAGTAACAAATATTCTAAATAAAAACCAGGACACTGTAAAATATTACCTCAATTTGCACTTCTTCAGGCATTCATTTAAGAAAATAATCTCAACACATAACAATGAAGCATCTTCTGTTTTCTCCAACATTTGCAAATGATAATGCAGTGAACCAAGTATGAAAATCTTAGTGACACCACCAATTGCTCTTGATTGATTTATTTCACATTTATGCCCATCTTGGGCAATCTTACTGTAGCAATGGACACAACGAGCAGATCTCCACTGAGGACAGGCAGAAAGAGTTGGAATTGTTCAGTCTGAAAGAAGTCAGGGAGACCTTAGAGCATCCTACCAGGATCCCTACAGGGGATCTGCAAGAGAGCTGGAAATTACTTTTTACATGGGCAGGTAGAGATGGGACAAGGGAGAATGGCTTTAAACTGAAAGAGGGTTGAATAAGATTAGATCCTAGGGAGATATTCCATACTCAGAAGAAAAGAATGGTGGTCAGAATCTGGTACAGGTTGCCCAGAGAAGCTGTGGATGCCCTGGAAGTGTTCCAGGCCAGGTTGGACAGGGCTCTGAGCAACCTGGTCTAGTGGAAACTGTCCCTGTCCATGGCGGGGGGGGCTGGGAACTAGATGATCTTCAAGGTTCCTTCCAAACTATTCTACGATTCTGTGAACAAGACACAGAAAGTAGAATACCAGGGAAGGTACTGTTAGTGGAGGAATGAACAAGATTCTCTAAGTTTCCGATTTCTATTTGAAGTTTCAAGAGCTTATCCTGACTAAATCTCTCTGTGATTAGCAAGTATTTTCAAAAACTTTCATGAAAGCACATCTCTCTGACAAATAAATGAAGGTAGATTTTTTTATGCTACATGTTTACTAATCCTCTTGGCAATCATGCCTACTAATTATCATGATCTTGTCTCATGTTACAATTCTATGTCTTTTAAAAAAAGACGCCCATTTCCATCACACAGAAAGTCAAAAATCTCCTAACAGCAGTTTTACCTTAATTATAGGCATAGCTGCTTACCTCTGGTTTACCTGCACATGTGCAGTGATCTGCTTTGTAATTAGAAATACGGGGGGAAAAGTCCACAGCTGAAACCAAGAATCTAGCTGGTAGACAAACCTGCCACCCTTTCAACTTCACAACCCAACAAGTAAACAAAGAGGCAAGACTGAAGGTTATAAGAACTCACAAACAATATATCATCTTTTCCCTATTCTCAAAAAAATTTAAGTGTTAACAGTTGCAATCAAACTTATGGTTATCATCCTTCTGTCCTTCTTTCCTCAAACTCTTGTACCTTGTTGCTCCACATTTCACCACATCCTCCTTTGCCACACTCCTGCAGAAGGACTGCAGAGAGAACAAAGCACCTGTTTTGGGTGTTTAAATCAGCTGAAGAGAAAAAATCATCTTGGCCTATATTCCTGATCCCCAACACAGAATTGTGTATACACACCTCCACTTCTCCCATGGAGGATATTTCAAAGCCCTTCCTAAAATGGATTAAATATATTCACTTGGGCAAAGGAAACAGAGGAAAATATTTTTTATTGAAACACAGTAATTAAAAATTAAATTGAAAACCAAACAGCAATTTGGCAGGGTACTTCTCTAAAGGAAGAGTATCATTCTTTGATTGGGTGTGATGTCATTGTCAATCTATGCTACAAACATATTACAAATACCCTAAAA